TTTGGATTTGAAGTGCATCCTAAATACAAATAATTTCATGGAAATCACTGGGTATCGTATTCGTTATTAAATATTCGTGAAAAGGTAATATCTGAAATTGAATACTTATTTATTTTAAATATTTTTATATCGTTTTAAAATTTAAACGCATTACGCACCAGTACGTTGTCCGTTAGGTGGATTCAAAATTGTAACTCGTGTTGATGATATTACACCAGTATCGATTATTAACGATTGTGCCTATGGAACAATAACATTATGTAAAACAAAACCAAAAAACGTATTTGTTGATAATTAGTAGTATTCGTACTCAAAAAAATATTATAAATAATATCTGTATTTGTACTCGAAAAACGTCTAAAAAGTATCTTTTACAGGAATGTAGGGAACAGAGATTTGCCACTAGACTTATTATCAAGTTGGACGGCGCTACATTGTGCTATTTTTCGTCCAAGTATAGTTATCGGCATGAACTAAACTCTAGTCCACAGTCATCAAAAATAATTAAATTGCACAGGATATTTACAGACGAACCTAAACATCGTATATTATCATTTTGCAAAAATATTTAATTCCTACCTGGTGTTTTTGTAAACGTTTTTCAACGATAGAACGCCGAGTAGGTAAGTCTCAAAACACAACTTAATCGACGAAATAAAGTAATTTAGTAGTGATTACTTCAAATATTACCTATGTAATATTCGGTTATACTCTAACCGTTATTAAAAATATACTGCATTTCGTTTCCATTATAGGTTCTTAAAACCCACGACTGCAGTATAATTTCCCATTAAAATAAACATGGGCGTAAATCTAATAATTTATTTTTCGGGCTCTTCGCCGTTCGTATTATTAAATATTGAATCAACTAAGTGATGAATGCATACATAATAAATTATTTACCTCGTACACAAATCCTGTAAAACGCATTTAAATTCTTAGGACGTAGTACAGTTCGGGGCTCGTGATAATTTTGAAAAAAACGAACATAATTATTACTCTGCAAATACTATGGGTAACGTATTTAGTATTTGAAATGTGTTTTGGAAGTTTCACATGATATTAAAATAATAATTTATAATATTATTTGGACGACATTTTATCATTGATAACGGGAATTAATCGGAAAGGACTACGAAACAGGCGGCCACACTCTGATATGATACCTAAATCTGTATTTATGGTATTTCGCCAAAATATGAATTAATAATAAAAACGGTATCGCCACGCCGAGAGTTTAGAAATTACCAACATTTTAATTGGAGTACAAAATATATAAGTATAGGTACTTACACGCGTGGTTCGTTTTAGCAGGTCAGATAATGAAAAACGAAATAATATCTTATAAGTATGCGCAGGCGGTATTAAAAGATAATTATTAATTTAGGGCCCGGAAGTTTGTGTATTTGCATGTTCTTATACCGAGTATGATATTATGCTGGGCTACAAAATTTTAATCACGCAGCCGTTTTAATGAATTCAAAAATACAATTTTATTCCGCATGATATTATTCTTTTCAAGATTTTTACATAAATTTACTATGCGTATAATAAAATTGGAGTTTACAGCGTAGTCACGAGTTTGTTCGTTTCAATTGTACGCCAATAAATAATATTCAAAAATAAATTTGAAGAAATTCGTATTTCAAAAAGCGTTGTGATTGACAATGTATATAAACGGAAAATAACGGTCGTTTATTTTTATTTCAAAATCCGTATTGTTATAATCTTTAGGTTATTATTACTAAATTATTTCACATTTTGTATTAATTTTGTTTATAATATAACATTTGGCATGTTTTTTCGTTAGATGAAATAAATATAGTTGACACCAAAAACGTATTTCGTCACTCACCAGGTCTAATACACGAGATTTTGTTTTGCATAATTCGGCAATTTCGGATTTTTAGTACATATTTTAAGGGTTTTGTTAATTTTTAACTCTATAAATAGAGAATCACAAAATAATTGAATAAATTATATTTTAAAAAATAGATATTGAAATTCAACGTGTTTTAATTTATTTTTTTGTAGAATTTAATCCATGGTTTGGTAGGTAAACGCAATGACAAACGATAATGAACTACAATATTTTTCGTAAAGCATGCTATTTTGGCGTTTTAAGTGGATATTTGCGTACACATTCAATGTCTTTTAGGCCGTATAAACATCTGCCTGTTACAAACTAAATAGGTATATTGTTCCGAATCACTAATCTATTCATACAGATAAATCGACGTATTTTTTGTCGACGAAAAAAAATAAAATAGCGCATATTTCGATAGATTATTTTAGACCCGTGAACTCTGGCACCATATAATATTCCGTTGTGTTCGCGAGTACGTCACTCTGGTCCTATTCGACTCCTCTGGGTCACACAATCGTCGCACCGCCGCGTGAAATCAATTGTTTATTTAACAAAACGGTGGTCGATTGAAATTGTATGTTAGTCTAATAATAATAAATATGTTGATAACGACTGGGTCGCGGAACATTAGGCACTATTGATATTTCATTGCCGCAGTGCCGCTCGACGACGGAATACGTATAACACGTATGCTCGACAACATGTGTTATAATTATTCGTACGGTAATTACCAGCCCAGTATTGGAATTACATACCCGTGTAGTTGAAATCACCGAAAAGACTATTTTTTTTTTATGATTTATTTCTATATAAAATCAAAATTACATTATCTTATTCATTTTTTTTTTTTTTGGCGAAGTAGACCCGTAGACTATAGATAAGCGCTTTTTCGCTAATTGATAAGACGAGAAACGATTAATGGACTAAAAACATTGGGATATGTGATGCTCAAATGGGTCAAAGACTGTAGTTTTACCAACGAATATGACTGAGAGGAAAGTAAGAGGAAGACACTAAAAGGAAACCGAGCCAATAGGCGGAAGTGGCTAATTAACGAGCGGAGAGAGGCACGAGAGAATAATAAGAACAACAACAAAATAATAATACAGTCCTCTCGCCAAGTAAGATTTAAGAAAAAAAAAAAACGTAGAAACTTAAAATTGGTGTTATTCGCAAACGAACTGGCCGAACTTCTTGATCTGGATATGTGTCGGACAAAAAAAAACTCATACTATGTTCGAACGAACCGCCAAAGTTAAACAGAGCGAACGGAGGCATTCACACGCGAAGACAACAGCTACATGTATAGGAATACATTTTCGGTCGACAGACCCGAACATCCCGAGGGCCGCCGCCGTTTCACAAATTCGCAGGGGAAATAAAAAAAAAAAAAAATAAAAAAAAAAAAAAATAAAAATATTGTAGAAATACTGATTGTCGAGAAACGCGTCGGTATTATTACATCGAAGTTGGTCCTCTCTACCTTGTCGAAAATCGATGAAATGTTCGTTGATTAAGATTCAGTAGTTCAGAGATCAGAGATGCCCTTAGTTTTGTGTATTGTATTATTTATATACCCACACACGGATAGTTTTGCCTATATTATGTAGTCGATTTTGTTAAATAAAGTTTTCGTTGTAAATCAAATTATTCATACGACATATACACGAATCCACGTTTAGTGTGGGTGGGTTCTAATTATTTCGTTTCGCCTCGAGCGTAAAAATGTTCGGCACGCCACTGGTCCTGGGGTCCCGGGTACTCAGGTACGTACGAGTCGATAATTAAATCGTATAAAACGTCGTTGATGACGGCGATGATTGAATAATGGCCGGAGAAACGCGTATGTTACGGTGAATGTTGTAAAATCGGTTAATGTCGTTACAATTACACTTTAACGTGGTTTGTGCTGTACTTTTCAATATTGTAGGATATTGGCAAATAACGAACTCGAAGGTGAGCGTGTTGTTTATGTTTGTACGTACGTTTTTTGTCGACATTTTAATCTTAAACCCGGATACGACGATTTTTAAAATTTAATATTTCACATGTTTGTAACTCACTCGAAAACTAAAACACCGTGAAAAAACCGACGTACAAAAACAGACAATGTTCTCACCTTTAAGTCTGATAGTACGCTCATACACGCTTGTATTAAAAGTAACAGCACAAAGTCGGTTTTCATATTAAAAAAAATATAAATATAACTACGTTAACCGATTTTAAAACATTAACCGTAACATATATAATTAAACTAATGATATTAGCCGATTTGTAAAAACTCGGGCCCGCAAATTAAGCGTTTTTAACGAAACCCCTTCTGTGTTTATTCAAGCTTGTGTCAAGCGTTATTCTAACGACCCATTAATTGTTTCTTGTACATAGTAATTTTTAGCGTTAAAAAAAAAAACAACGAAAAAAAATTTGGACGAAAAACAAAATGTCAAGTATAAATTATTTTAAAATGGGCTTTGCTCTCCGTGTACAAGTACAAGTATTACGTTTTGTTTGGTTTTTTTTCTCATCCGTCCCGAAGACACTTTGACGGAAAAACCGGTCGAACGACGACGGCGTTGTAAGTAAATCATAATTATTATTGTTATAATCACGACGATTACTACTAAACGAAACAGTTTCCGTTTAAAAAAATTATAATTCGTGTTTTTTTTAACCATTTTTTAAACGTTGTTTATTTCGTAATAGATTATTAGATTATCCGTCCGTCTGCCTTCCCACAAATAATAGTCAATAGTTAGTTAATACTATTGATTAATTCTCATTTACCGATTAGTCATTATTGCAGGCTACACTAAGTAATCCTCCATAATATTTTGTATCGGCAATATCAGCCGATACAGGCGCAATTAGGAGGGAGTTACGGAGGACTTAGCAACCACGAATATGTTTTTAGCCACCACATCTCTGGAATGACTTGATTAATTGTGTACTCAAACAGTTACCTAGTTTGTTACCGTGTTAATTGCTCGTTAAATATTGGAAAAACTGAACATATTATTAATGCACATTTGATATTTAAAACTGCCGAATTGCTTAACTATGGCGTATAGATAGTGAATCATTCGTTCATTATTACTCAATATTTATTAATGTATTTTATTTCGGCGAGTTTATTACAAAAAGATCATTATTATTTAGTGCGTTGATGCGTGCAATTTATGTTTTAAGCTTTGTATAGTTTTAGTCGCCTCCACAAAACTGTAGGATCTAGTCGTCCGATTGAATTGATACAATTTGATGTGGTAATATTTCAAAAATAAAGTATTTTTCTGTCGATCGAAAAACGATCCGAACGAAATTATCGGCGAACAAATGTAAAATAACAATAACAAGAATGCCATTCATTACCATACTAGACACACGCTTGACAAGACGACTTGCAGTTCCTATAAGTTTTCGACTATTTAACACCACGACCAAGACCGCGAAAGATACTACATTAGTCATTGTATTACTAAACATGTTTTGGCCGGACGTTGTAAAGTCGAATAAAATATGATATTAGACTCCTCGAAATTTTGCCCAGTAACACTAGGACGTAAATTTAAATTTTCGAAAAAAATCCTCCATCCGAACGATTATCTAATCGTTAAAACGTTCTCGTCCCGGAAAAGTGCGTAATACTGTTTTATTCATCCGGTCCGGCGTTGTCCGCAGTCTACTCGATAATAACCCTTTCGGTGTCTCCCGGGACGGCATGGTCCGCCGTTGATAATTTTCCTTTTGAATTATTCTGGTCATATTTCAGTTTGTTTCTCGATAATATCGCATTCCGTCGGCAGTATACGCCGATAAAAATATGTCGCAAACGTCATGTACGTTTTTCGCGGACGTTTACTGAAATGTAAAAATCAACGATATCAATACTATAATACATTCGGTCTACGTATCCCAAGAAAATATATTTTGTTTGAAAATGTTAAAATTTTATTCGATTTGCGAGAAAAAATAATAATCGGAAACGACACGAATTATTATAGGACCGTACGGGTAGAAGTCTGACCTTTTGTTGACCGGACGAGTACATAAATGAGTAGTGACACCTAGCGGCAAAAGCCATGCGCTCGACTTTGGTCTCGAATGAATAATGCTTCACGTGTAGATAGCGCTTTATTTACTATTTCCGGGAAAACTACACAGAGTTGATGTATGCATTTCATATAGAAAAAATAACATTTTGATTTTTCACCGTATATTTTTATTCGTATGGAATTTTTTCTCGGAATTTCACGGTCCGGATTTTTGGATTTTTCAGGAAATTGTAATGCTTTTAACTAGAACCGTTTGAAGACAATAATGGAGTCTAGGAAAGCTTTACACCAGAAATCCGAAAAAAGAACGGGGACATAATCCAGCCACTTTTCGAATAGAAGTGTGCGATTTGATAACATTCGAACATTATATACTCACGGCGTAACCTTTCAAAAAAATAAAAAAAAATAACAATAATAAAATAAAAATTTACCGATTTTCGTCAAAAACGATCCATCGTCGTTGATTTTGAATAAACGGCGCAAAAATTAAGTGTTTAACCAACTCTGTATAAAAATATATTGTTCAATTATTATTGTTTAAATCGTTATTTTTCCGGCACCAGATATTCGGGCACCAAGAGACGTTTGAAAGCCGAAACGCTATTCGTACAACATAGCCAGTGATAATAAACTTTTAACAACCATGACATTCCGATCGCATTCCCTCGTTTTTTTTTTTTTATCAAAATAATATAGACAAATGTTTTGTTATAAATATGTAAAATATTATTCATAAACATAATTGATATAAAACTCTTCTTATTCTGTCACTTTTTTCGCTATCGATTACGTGTCTCGAATTGTTTTTAATTTTTTGTTGATAAGTACCTAGTAATATGTTTTCTTTCTTCTTTAGCAACATAATGTTGTAATATTATGGTATGATCACAATTCGTGCTTTTTCGTTATATACTGTGACCATTCATTTGTAGAGTTGCGAAAAGATTTTGCAAAATTTGACGTGGTTTCGGTAACACTCGACAACCTACTAACCAGAATTTGTTCGTTCTATTCCGATCTGATCCGACCTACTTGTAGTTTGTTGGCGAGCTTCAGATTAGATGTTTAAACCTGGTTCGGAGTTAGAACCATGATCAAATCGATAAAACCGTATTACAAGTGACCAACTCATGTTTAAAACGATGTCCCTTGACGATCCCTTCGATCTCCCGCCACCATGATATAGTAATATAGTCCCATCCCACCTAAGACGAGTCCAATAACTTTCAACTATGTCGTCGCTCGAACAACCCCAACACCACTGAACCATCAGTCGAATTGATTTACATTAGTTATTATTTATTTAGAATTTGAATAAGATAATATCCAAGAAAACGACGACCAGAATGTTTCGGATAAATCAGTAACCGGTTTCCGCATATTCTTACACTGTGTGTAAGCCGTACGTTTGATAAAATTATACTTAAGTGTCGATGAAAATCGACCGAAAAAAAAAAAAACGTAATACACAATGGCAAGCAATATATTATAATTGTTTTCAATTGGTGTCTGTTCAATTGGTTCGGTGTCTGTGGTGCAATCAAAAAAAAAAAGAAAAAAAGCGGTGTTCCAAGGTTTAGGTGTCAGTGCCGTTTGTGATTATACAAAATATTATAATATTTAAACAGTGTAGATTGCAACAGTCGAAGTAATGAGCAGCTGTTGACTTTTTTTCGGGTTTCTTACATTTTTTTCTTTTGCGTATTTCCGTATTATAATGCCGATTATAAAAATGTACACAGTTGTATTTTTTAAGCACGCTCGTACCATTTTTATGGGTAAATTATAAAAAAAAAATTCGAATTTTTTTACTAGGATCTTTCACAACATTTAAGAAGTATCCTGTGACGATACCAACTTTGGTTTTCCAAATGATAGCCTACATATTATTTTGATGTAAATGATGGCGTATTGCAATCGAAATTTTAACGAAAAGTTTCCAAGTTATTCTCCTTTAATTACCAAGGCAATCCTTTTATGGAAATTTGATGCCTCCGTGGTAGCTGTTTCTTTGGCGCCGAGTATAGGAAATTTCCCGCTGTGAATCGTGAAGTTATCGAAATACAGGTTTTAGTCTGTTATTATTTCGTATTGAAGTTAAAATAACTAGGAAACTTTTCATTAAAAATGTCAATAACAATACACCAACATTTTCGGAAAAATCATCTGATTGACAATTTGCATTGAAAAAATATAGGGTGCCATTTGAAAAACTAAAGTTGATTATGCCACAGGACATGCGCTCATTGAATGTTGTAAAAATTCTATAAGTATTCGTTAGTATCATCTTTCTCTAAATTTGATAATCCCGAAAATCGAAATTTTAACTTATACATTATTTAATCATCAGAACGGGGCGAGTATGCTCAAAAAAATCGCCTGTATATCATCGACGAATATTTAAATAAATCAATAAATTAATAATAACTAATAAATTGACTGTATTCAGTTTTTTGGACATAACGATTTGGACCTCCGATTATCAATAGACAGACTGTAATTGAATAAAAATATATACAATCATTAAAGCGTACAATTTAATCCATTTTCCATACCGTCAAATTGAATATAAATAACGGATAAATTACGATAATGTTACTTCATCATGTTTTTCAATTATTTTTTCATAATCACAAAACCGTAAGTTTTTCCCTCCCATCCGGATTTCCGTGGTTTTGAATTACATTAAAAACGAGTTTCTCGAAACCAAGTCATAACGTTAAGAACATTTTACCACCTCCAAGTTGTCAAAATCGAACTTTATACCGGAAAAAATCGATTAGTCGTAAAACACCGGAGTTGAACACTGCTACTTTACATACATATAAATTTTTAGTATCCACACGCGATAGAAATTTCAATTCAATTTAAATCAACGAACGTCTTTACGAACGACAAAAAAATTACAATTTAACATAATTTGTTTTTTTTTTTTTTTTACACAGTGCATTTCTTTCGAAACCATCCGATTTTATTTTACCGGTATTGCAGATGATTATAAAATGACAGTTCATGTGAACGGAAAGTGAAATGTTTTTCAATTTTTTTATACTGGAGTATTTTCCTTCAAACGAATAATATGTTATTCTTCTAAACGTGCGCATTCAATTTAAATACGTCGATTTTATGATTACTTACAGTTTTATTTACTTTAATTTTTGAATGAAAAAATGTAATCCACGAGAGACGGGAGTGTACCGTATTTTTGTTTTTACAAACACATTTTTCGTGTCATTCGTTTGCGTCATACACAAATTTAATATCCGTCCGATAATTTTTCGCCAGTGCATAATAATGTATAATAACCATTCCTTTAGTCCTTACACAATACATTTCCACTGATCAAGTTGCGATCATGATTGATAGGTATTACGGACGCCGAAAGTAAGTTGACAAACTTGTCAACAGAGAAAAAAAAATAAAACGAAACTTAAACTAGTATGCTAAACTTGACTACCGCTCCGAAACGCTGTATACGCGACCCGAATTTATCATTTTCCGACCTACTTTACAATGACGGGCTCACGAATCGATATTTTTTTCTTTTTAATAACTGATCTATAGTAACGCGAGTTCTAATAATAAACATTGAAAAATGAGAAAATGATTTTCCCTCTCCCTCTCGAAACGTCAATATCGTAATAGCGTAACCGTTCAAATTATAGATCGTATAGGGACAATTTTTATTTAAATAACAGCGTACAAAGTGTGAAAAACAAAACAAAAAACATAACACGTCATATCGGAACATAAATAAATAAAATATTGTATAAAATGCCGAATGAACAAACCATTAGTTACACGGGTTCGATGTTAAAATCCAATATTGTGATCTGAAATGTCGGAAAAATGGCATTGAATATTTTTGTCTAAAAAAAAAAAAAAAAAAATGATAATGACTTAGGATTTATTAAGGACAAAAATTAAAGATCATTTAAAATTATTTAGATCAGTAATGTGCTATTTTTTTAAATCCACGATTTCCAGAAGAATTTAAACGAGGACACCCCCTACAAATATCACGTAAGTATAATATATTAAATACATTACAATACATTCATTTGTATTCGTGTGGATAAAATTGTTAGTTTTAGCCAATTCGACATTTAATTCAATTGATCCAAAATAGTAGTAGAAATACCTATACAATCAATAAAAAAAATAACAATTCTAAAATTAATTTGAAATAATCGACATAGTAATGATTTTAAATGTATACATTTAAATATTAAATTTAAATTTAATACAGTGACAAATTTTTACACGAGAATTATGAATGTGTGATGAAATTCGCCGATGAAATTCAAATAACAATAACCCAAATCATAATACGTGTAACATAAAGACCGGAATTCTTTTAATAGATTCAATAGTACTTGTAATCGCCAAAATTTAGACAATGTAACACGATTGTTGTCTGCGTCGCACAATGTAGTGTTTCGGTTACACGCAGTGCTGCAGCCAAGGGGGGTTTCGGGTGTTGTACCCCCCATTGCTTTTTTTCAGATGTGGATTGAGTAAAAAAGGTCGTAGAACCCTAGACGCGCCTCCCACTCCCTCTCCCTCCCTATCGCTAAATCCTGGCAATGCTACAGATGGCAAAAAGTAATTTTGCGTACTATAGGAATAATATTCATACACTCATACTGTATATGACATTTATATTTTGTGTTAAATTATTTTGGCCATCCCTGTTCAAATTTCTAGATCCTTTGTGTGTCATCGGCCCCGAGTTGCGCGACGCCGATCTAGACACGATGAAAAAATAATCAATTTGTATCGTTTAAAACATATTACAATTGTAATACGTCAAAGTTTTGCGAATTAACAAGGTGATTTAAAGAATACCTGACATTTAGGTTCTATCTAGAAATAATGTTCACAAAAACTATAGAATTTCATTATCAAAATGATCTTTTAAACCGTTTAACGTCTATCAAAACTGGCAATAAATTTCCGATAGAGTAATCAGTACTTCTCGGTCACGCAGACTGATCCGGATTTAAATGCCATAAAAAAAAAAAAAAAAAACCGAAAAAACAGCGTATTTCCTTGCGTAAAATAGATGAACACGCGTAAAACGATCCAAATACTTATACGGCATTAGGTCACCGTAGTTTTGTGAGCAGGATTCGGGTGACGTCCGAACAATTGCATTTCACGACTGTCCCGTCGATGGCGGGAAAAGTTTTTGTAAACTTTGACAACGGGAAACATTATAATATTATTGTTATGTGCTCGTGAGATTCGGGAGGAACCAACGAGTGTTATCCACTCGAATCAACAAGTATTTTCAAATTCAAAACTTTTGAACCTAACTTCATTTTCATATTTGCATTTTAAAAATACAATTGTTTTGAAATGTGACGATGTAAAACAAAAATTCGCTTTACTTGTCGATATGAGTCACAGGAAATCTGATCGTTTGAGTTAAAAATTCACACCATAGATCCATAGATATTTTCGATATTTACCACAACATTTTTATTTTAGTACTTCCAAAAACTTCACTTTCCGAAAATCAAACAATTGGTCCGAACATATATGATACCTTATATTAGAGGGAAGGAGGTATAGAGGTTGAAAATATATTTTTCTTGTTTTTTATTTTTCATTAAAAATATTAATTTACCATATCATTGAATACAATACGACTTATTTCTGACAAGACTAAATGTACGTGTGATAAATACGAATTCGTACTGATAATTCAATGATTTCCATAAAAAATCATGAACAATTCCTTGTTTTCTTCCTGGACACCTGATTTTGATTATCCGACGGTGATATATGATTGCGCAGTCAATCAGTTATTAACAAAAGTTATATTAATGATCTTGTAAAAACAAAATTTAAATCCAAGGTCATAATGGCCGAAATATTTTGACTTAAACTAGGTTAGGTTACTTGAAAAAAATTCCAATTAAATGATGTAAAACTCTGGAATTGGATGCTGTTTATTGGCGAAATTAAACGGTACGATTTTGGTTAGCAATTTTAGAATTCAATACCCATAAATTTTAGACGAGTGTCTAGATGGAACTAGTTAAATATCCGATGTAAACAAATTGTTTTTTTTTTAACAAATTTCAAAAAATATGTTGTGCTTTTCGAGATTTGTTTGAATTCCATTGTTGAAAACGTATAAAGTATATAATATAAAACGTATGGCACATATACTTTAATAATGACACCAGAAAAACGATAAGAAATACGATATGATAACAAGATTGACGGGAAATTTGTTCGTGAACCCGAGTAAGTGACTCAGTATGTATAAAATGTGATACCGGGCCGTCTCTAGAGTCTAGACGCTCGTGATTTTTTTTTAGTTTCAAACGCTCCTTTATATTTATCTTCCAAATGAAGCTAAAATAACGACACTTTTTACCTAAATTATAACGAGTAAGTTTCAAAAATCTTGTGATATTCGGAGGTTTCGATTTTCCTCTACAGCCCCCCCCCACCAATTATTTCGTGTAGAAGTTTCACCTTTTTTTTATTTTTTAGAATTAAACGTTATCAATCGTTTCATCGATATATTTTGTTATTATTATCATTTTTTTTTATTTTACTCTATCACTGTTATCTTTTGTGATTTTTTCACCTCCCCTCATACAACAAATTGTTGTAATAATATAACTCTATTTTTATAGTGTTAGGTTATTCGTTATTTTCCAATGAATATTTTAACTATGAAACTAACCGGGTGGGGAGGTATTCGTCTCTATATAATAACGGAGCTCCAGTGGCGTGCCCAGCATTTTTCAATAGAAGGGAATTTCACATCATAAAATCGTTTTCTCAACACAACTCGACTATGGGAATTAGTAATTTAAAAGTTAGAACCTACAATAAAGTTAATTTCTAATAAATACATCAAACTTTTCCTCGTAACTGCAATATATGCATTTTAACATTAGATAACTCATATTTTATGTATTTCTAAGCCAATTGGGGGGATATAACACCAACACCCCCACTCCATGCGCAGGTCACTGCGGAGCTCTGCTCTGCGCACGGTTTTATCGTTATGATGGATACTAGTCTCTATGTTATTGTTCGGCACTGCGCGTTAGCATGGAACATCAGCGTATATCATTTTTTGTTACATAAATATAATATCTACACAAAATCTACATAAAAAATTATATACATGTGTTTATTAAAATATTATAATTATATTTTATTATATAGTCCGGGTAATTTTTAGCTTGGCCGTCGGGACTTGACGGTGTTGAGCCACGCGATTACCCGAAGGCCAATGTGACGTATATTAAATAATATACGATATTAGTTTTCTATTTTTGGATCCGTTATAAAAATGAAAAAAAAAAAAAACAAACAAACAAACAACATCAAACACCATATTGGTACGTGCAATAACGCACTGCAATAGCCGCCGGTTAACGCAGAAATTAACGCCACATCAATACATATGATTGATTGGAAACAAAGTTTAAAAAACCGCGTTTTAGAACCTTCGGACGTACATTTTGCATATTCTTTGTTGCTATTATCGTTTAAATTGACGGGCTACGAAATTTGGAAAAATGACTATCGAACGGGTTTTTTCAGAAAAAAACATTACTCTCTTATCGAGAAAGAACGTCTTTAACGCGAACAATATTCGCAAACGGTGTTTTATGATTACCCTACCACGCCGTACTAATGCAGGTATTGTCATTAGTAATTGCGTTACCTAGCGTTACTTAAACCCTTAAAGAAAAAAAAAATTATCTCGCCCTTAACGTCTCGAAACGCGAATTATTTGCGTTCGAATTATTTTCAATACAATCGCTCGGTATAAATAAATATTGTTTTATTGATCACAACGGGGTTTCGTTTTTTTTTCCTTCTTTTTTTATATATATATACCTACTTCGTATTATAATCGAACTTTGTAATCATCGAAATGTATTTCGAATATTTCCGAAACGCTACATAATATACGCTGTACATAATAATAGTCTTTTGTCGTATCCGTTTATTTGAATTTTTTTTTTAAAAAAAAAAAAAAAAAAAAACCATCTGAAAAGCGTTGCGCGCGTCTGTATTATATTTTATAAATGTTATGCATCAACTGCGAGAGTATTTTTTTTATTTCCCTTGACATATATTTGAAGAGTCATTTCCAACGAAGAAGCACTTAAATGATATTTTTATTACGCGTATTTATTCTAATAGAATACAAAAAAAAAAAAAAAAAAAATTCACGTAGAGTTTAATGCAACAATAATAATAATAATAAAAAAAAATAAAACGTTGTTTCTGACCAATATATTATACACAAAGACTCCGATACGCATTATTCGAATGCATAAATCATTATTTTTAAATGTTATTAATTGGAGCTGTAGAGAATGAAAATTGTCTCGAACTATAAATATGACTTAGACCGATAAAAATCCGATTTTAATTTTCGTTTATCAAAGATCAAACGTTGTTGTATCAAAAATATCTACTCAGAAAAAGTGGCGTCCCTGTCGGCACATTTAATTATGCACTGCGAATAGCCTAGCCTTATCCTTAATGGTTCGTCTTCAACAATCTTCCGCAGGAATTATAACCGAAGTTTCGGGCTAGAGTGCTTGAAAAATTAACCAATGAAATAAAATTACTTCAACTAAAATTCAAAGAAAAATTCTGAGAAAATTGTTTGGAGCGGTAAATATACGCCGATACCAATGAGTTAGACCGAACCAAAAACTATTGAGTCGTTACATCAGAAACAGAACACCGTATAGAAGTCATCAGAAGGAATTGTATTTGACAGGGCACGCCTTGAGAAGCCGAAACCCATTAATTTCTATAGAGAAACTGTGAACGAACCGGAAACGAAAAAACTGAAATCCGAGAATGCGGCTGCAGTCAAAATGTATGTAAGAAAACTAGAAGAAAAATTATATTGAAATGCCCATAGGCGAGCCAAAGGGAACACTAGGGGGTGCTTAGTACTCCCTAGCTTCAAATCAGCACTCCTAGATTTCCTGAGTAATTTATTTCAGTATCTCACCAATAATTTGTAATTGATTGTGGTTTATTGGATTGGATACAATATTTATTTTTTCCCATTACACGTTCATGAATTCACGATTAAAACAGTATTGTGTAAATGCTCGTTTCAGTTTTCGTCTAAATGTTAAACAGCAATCATACAGGAAATCGTATTATCTTACTTTGCTTTTACATCTTAAACGGTCAGCTATGAAACTATGTTCTATTTAAAACTGATATTGTATACAAATTTTAAATTATTGTATTGTAGTTTATTGTAGTGGGCGTGGGAGACAAATCCTCTCACGAATCTATATACTATACATTATTCTAGCACTCCCTAAAAGCACACCCAATGTGCGCCAACGGGAACCATCAGATAATTGGTTAACCGGAGATGACTGGAGATTTCGGCAAATAACGGGATGGTTCTCGAGACGGTGCACCCCGGAGAGGAAGAACAAGATTACTAGTAGATTAGTATATGATATCGACAATTTTCCGTAAGAGATTCACTCAGAACAATAAATTTTAATATGGCGGTCTCTTTAAGAATAATAGAGCCGAAATATTATCATGGGAATATTATCGATTAAAAAAAAATATAATACTATCGGACGAAAAAACCAAAATCCATTTACCGTTTAAAATCGTCGCGGTTACGACGTTTTAAAAATTATTTATTAATAAAGTAATGAAAAAAAATCGCATTGCTCATTGCGAACGCGTGTTACAATACGCATTACGATAACAACGAATATTGATAAAAGTCAAACTAGTGTGCTTAAAAATTGTATGTATTTGATATAAAAAAAAAAAAAAAAAAAAAAAAAAAAATACGGAGCGAAAAAAATGCCAGAGAAAAAACAGAGCGTCCAACGTATATCAAAGGTGCTCATAGTATAATTATAATAAACAAAACGTATTGTTTTCAAACAAGTTTTTTTTACTAGCATGTTAAGACACGCGAAACATATAATGTAAATATCGTGTGGGTCTAGCATTAGGACGGTAAATTTTAAATGGGTCACGACGTGCGTTTCTTCGTGCGCGCGTTATTATTAGGGCAGATATTTATAAGTAGGGCTAGGAAATTTAACGAGCTTAAAAAGGCAAAATATGTATGGAAATATGCACGAAAAAGTTCTAAGGTATGCATGAAGAAATGTTAAATATGTAAAAATGTAATAAATACGCAATAAATTATTGAGTTTATTATTCAAAAACATATAGTATACATTATTTATATGTACGAAAATGATAAAGATTAAATACGATTCGCACCGGTGTCGTTAAATTAATAATACACCGAGACGGTAAGAAATAACAATAAATAACTAAGTACGTTGAATAATATTGAGTTTTATATTTAATGGCATTTAAATAAAATTGGTTAAAAAAGAAAAATAAATCTACTTTATTTACAAAAACCTAAAATATTATGCGAAAATCAATGAAAATCGACGAAATACGTACGTTTTCTCTAAAACTAACTAAATATGCAAAATATGCATTTTTAAATGTCCAATTTTTAAATTCTCCATATCGTATAGAAGGTATTTCTATCTTGGTCTGCTATAAATTCAGTGCGTACGAAAAATGCATGTATGCAACTCCTATAACTTCCAAGCCCTATTTATAAGATTTCGCAGAATTTCACAGGCTGGATAAAACAAAATAATTTACACTGACAAATATTTTATTCCTTGACTAATATAAAGCATTTTATTTTGAATATTTTGCCGTTTAAAGACTTTAAGGATGTGGTTTGAGGATTTTGTAAGTTCAAAGTGCATATACATTATAAGGATTTCGTACATTTTAAAGTCGTTTTCAACTCAAAGAATCGCGAATCATGAAATAAATGTTCGATATTTATGAATAGAGCGGACCTATAGGGAAATAATATTATTTTGCATAATTTTATTGCTTGTTAGAAATAAACTGCCAGTTTATACAAAATTTCGTTTTACATATTTTGGCTTTTGGAAATTTTTAGAATTTTTTTTTTTTTTTTTACCTACTATATTCAGTGCATATTATTTCTAAAGGTTTATGGAGCATATAAATATATGCCCTAGCTATCATTTTACCGTGTTTACGATACAAAAAATAGCGATAGACCAGATAACCCGATTACGTAAGTCCGAAAATCGGAAATGTGACGGGATCTCAACAATAATATTTCTGATTAGACCGAACCCAGGTTTTTTTTTTTTTTATTTTAATTATTCGTGACAAATGAAAATTCGAAAATATTCTATACGTATAAGTTTTATAGAAAAACTGTCTTGATCGGGGAAGGGGAGAGGATGAAGGAAGAAAATAATACAATTTACCGGTCGTTTTCGCGGGAATGACGGGACGGGGTTGAAGTGACGAACTTGAAGAACTGTTTATTTTTTTTTTTTTAATTAACTAATTTATTTTTTTTTTCAACATGCTAGACCCGTGAAATTTAATTTTGCAATATAACATAATAATAGTATTACAATACGTATAATACAATAACGTGGTATAAACTAATCATGCTTAAAAAATAAAACAATAATAATAAAAACGCGGGGATTACAAACCTAAAAATACCTGCGTACTACCGCATACGCAATATAAAATATGTAAAAAACAAAAATTAAAAAAAAAAAAAAAATAATAAATATAATTATAATATCTCAATAGGTATAGCCGTATGCAGATATAATATTACGATAAAAACTAAGCGAGTGACGTTTTTCTCCTCGTATTGTAATAGTATGTAACGTATGATCGTTTCTACGTCGCTAAGTATACTCGGCGGTAAGTGGTTAAGTATATATATATATTATGTAATATCATATAATACGATGAGATCGACTAAAATAGATAATTGTTAATGTTTAATTGGTCAAGCATCTCAGCGATCGAACCGTAAAAAAAAATAACAACATAACTACTGTTTAACAATAATAATACGTGTACGTAATGCTAAATAAGTGATGGGAAGTAAAATTACCGGGGTGAGTCGGGAATAATGTGGCGCCCCCAGACGGTAATAATATTATATATTGTACACGGACGTACGTCCGTAGGCGTGTCTAGACTTTTTCCGAGGCTTTTGCGTAGATTATCGGAGCGTTTAGATGCCACGTTACCTTTATAAAAAAAAAAAATACCACGCGTTTCCTGCCCCGAAAACTCGAACGTGCCATGTCCGAGCCGCGGAATAACCGGAAAACGTGCCGCTCCCCTATCCCCTGTCACTCACGAAGACGCCATCCCGGCGTCCACTGTTTCGGTCGGTAGGACGATTGATTTTGTGCCGTGATTTCCGGCGTTAAAGCGAAACAGCGCGCTGATGATTTTTTCGATATTTTTTAGCAAACACGTGTGTGTGTGTGTGTGTGTGTGTGAGAGAGAAACATCAATACGATTACAACTCGCTTAAAAACAAAAATATCGAAAAAACACCGGAGCGACGGTACGGATAATCGTCTCGGTTTTGAGTTGGTTTGATTCGCTTCAACGTCGAAACTAACAGCACGCAATTCGACACGCCCTTCGCACATTTCCTGTGTCGTGGGGTCGTAAGAAGGAGACGGTTGACACCGGTGTGGCATTCTCCATGAGCTTCTTCTTTTTCTTCTTCACCGGCCTTTACAATTCCATCAGAGTCTTCGCCGCCATCACTGTACATTTCTCCGTCACGCTCGGTCTCGAACAATTCGTCTCCTATTCTTACGCTGCCTGCGGGGCTTTGAGATCATCTTCTACCACGTCTAGTCATCTCCTCCTCGGTCTACCTCAAGCTATGCCTTTTTCTTTGCGGGTTCACTATAACTCTGCAGCGGGTCATCGTCGTTATCGCACGGCAACGTCGTTTATCAGCGTTCTGATCGGGTCGATAGATAACAATCGTAACACAGTAAATCCAGGGAGCAACAGGCGTATTATTATCGATTGCCGCCGGACGTCCGTTTCAACGATGCGATCGCGTGAGCGTCGCTTTCGGTCGTTCCGCGGTCGGACACCCGTCGTCATTGGCGTTCAGCTCGCGGCGAGTGATCCGTTCGAGTGAAACGACCCGGACGGCAAACGGAAACGCGCGGAATGTCCGTTTATACGACCGAAAACGGCCGTCGCACCGTGTACGGATATTATTTAAAGAGCACTCTCGGGGCTACGGGGGAGAAAATGAAAATCTCATCGAGCGTTCCGATAATAACCGGCGGCGTCTGCGCGTCCGGATAATCGACGACTCTCCTCGCGTAGACACGCCTGCGAACTGTTGCGGTTACGGGGCTGACGGGAGAGGCGGTGCACATCGTTCGGAACTGATAATGTGATACGGTTGGTCGACGGGACGGTGCCGATACCGTTGTATTATCACATTATTGTACACCGAGACCTGAACTACCCCGGAGTATTTGTGAGGGCGATCGAATCGTTATCGAATATACGAACCACGGGGTCGTTTCGAGGGAACATAATAATATTGTATTACGACAGTGGTGAATATGTAGGGGAAAAAAGAATAAAAATAGGTTTGTTGTACAACCTGTCGGAATTGTCTGATCGCGCCGTTAATCCGCAGGGAGTCGGCCGCGATCATGGCTATGTTGTCGGCCGGGTCCCTGAGCTGCCGCAGTGACGAGCTGGGCTGGTGATGCATGTGACAACAGTGGCCGGAACACATCATTGACACGCTCCCGGTGGCCTCGGGCTGCGAGCTCTGTCTGATGATCCGGGAGCTCGGGGACGTGGTTAGCAGCACGGGCGGTGGCGGCGACAGGCCGTACGCGGACGAGACGCCGCCGCCGACGCAACCGGATCCCGAGCCGCCCGCGCCGCCGCCGGGGACGCCGTACGGGTATCCGTAACCGTAGCACCCGGGGCCGCTGACGCCGCCCGTGTTGCCGACGGCCAGCGCGCTGCCGGTAGCGTTGTTCCGGCCGTGCACGCTCTCCCGGGACACCGACCGCGATATACAGTGGCTCTTGCGCCGCTGACACTGACACCGGTTCACGGCCAGATACCGGCAGTGCAGCTCGATGTCCGGTACCGACCGGGCCGCCGCGCCCCCGTCGTTGCACGGCGGCGGTCCGCTGTCGTCACTGCTGCCGAGCGTCGGCATGGCGTTCCGCAGGTCCCGGTGGTTGTGCGGGATCAGCGAAGTGGTGCAGTCCTGTCTAGTCAACACGGGTTTTCCGCCGGACGACAAACCTCCTCCTCCTCCTCCTACTCCTCCGCCACCTCCTCCTCCTCCTCCTCCTCCTCCGCCATCGCCGCCGCCGCCACCGGAGTTTACTCCTGCACCGCCACCGGTGCTAACTCCTCCGCCGCTACCGGCGCCACCGATACCACTGCCCCCTTCGTCGCCGCTGCTGATAACGGGCGAGTCCGAAGAGACGACGGTGACGGCCGTAGACCGGGCGACCGGCGGCGAGCTCTTGACCAGCAGCGAAGCGGTCTCTTCGCTGCTACCGTAACCGCATTCGGACATGTTTCGGTGCGCCTTCTATCCACCGAACATACGACGGTCACCTGAAATCAACATCGCGACAAGAGGTTAGTTTACGGCATTGGCTGTTTAAATTTCTGCAGGTAAATTAAAACTCTGTCCACATGTTATAGAGCAAGTAGAACAAGTAGAAATTGTTGAACATAATAAACGTGCTGCTTGTTATTCGAAAATCGCTAAATATTTTTAGATTTTCTAAAAAAAAAAAAAAAAAGGTATCTATTAACAGCGACAGATTTCGACGGGTTTATCAGTACGAACAAACTGTGTCAGGTATAAAGGATAAAGAAATTAATTTTAGCTTATCACACGGTCAGAATCAAACTTTTTATGGTGGTGTAATTTTTTTCTTCTTCTTAACGACGTCTAGTTTATCGGGTAATTTTTACATGCCTAAATAAATTCGAATCGATTCGTATTGATCTAGGTAGGTTCCAGTTGGTATTTTTAAATATAAAAACATAGCTAAATTCGCGTATTTAGAAAAACCGCCCAGCCGACGAAGCAAAAAGAATATAACGTCAAATAGTATCCTGTGACTCGAAATAAATAAATAGTAACGATAAAAAAAAAACTACGCCACATCCCACTGATATATTATACAGACGTGATCAATCCATTTCTTTATTATTGGTGGTTTCACTTCCGAGTAACGTCCGAGCAATTATCGTTCCGTTTGTTTAGACGCTTTGTCACAACGTACTTTTCAAATATTTTTACAGCATTGGATTTGTATTATAAATTAAATGGATGGCATATTACGTAGACGTTAAAAACTTTGAAGTCTGTTTTCAGAAAATAAACTGACGACTCTTGTCAGCGGTCATTTAACTGGGATATGTTGCCCTAGCGTGAACCGGACGAACGTCGACATTACTATACATAGTCAAAACACTTTTTACGATAGTATAAAGTCGACGTGAAAAGATTTCGAAAAGATAACGACGAAAACGTGACGTATATATACGCATTTCAAACACGCGGTAAATATCATTGAAACGGTTGGTTTGCAAATTGTAATTCATCAAAAATGCATTAAAAAAAAAAAAAACAAAAACAAAAATTCAAACGCAAAACGATTTCCTCAAAAAAAAAAAAGAAACCACGAAATTTTGAAATTACAATAATAAGTATTCAATATATTATTACGAAGCGTTTCAATACAGTTGTGTTTTGAACGCGTAACAAGAGTATTATTTAAATCAAAATATTGCGCATAAAAGGTTTTCTACATAGAAACATATTTATTAATTTATCATTGAACTCACTGTCCGTAAGAAAACTGAAAATAGTATTTTAAGAAAAATAAAAACTTTTTTCTACCGTAACGGTGAAAACGCACGTCGTCATAATCACATTTTCTCACTAATCCCTTCCCTACCCTACACACATAGGTCAGATCGGTAACGGAGTTATTAAAAATGTCCGACCTATCACGTGATACGTTTTATCGGAAAACAGACCATTAAAAGAAAAACCGACTATCGTTGCGGTCTTGTTAATAAAAGTGATGGGACAGGTGATCGTTTTGCTATGACTCCGGACCGTTAGCGAAAATGTCACTCGGCGATTGGCGATTCGGTGTTCGTCGAGACGCCGAAAATCGAATCTCACTTTTGACCAGAAGTGTACCCATTAACCGTTTTCACAACGAAATCAAAAACCCATCATCGTCTCAGGGGTTTTATTCCAACGAGATTGTTAGAAGCATACGGGGACCCGGTTACAGAATAAAATTGGCCGAATTCCGTCGAGGTCGAATTTACACTCTGCGGATGGTCGTGCTCACGGATCTAAATTACAGAAAATTCCCGGTAAAAACAAGAAAAAAAAAGCTGTTTTTTCAGGTCATGATAAAAAAAAAAAAAAAAAAAAAAAAAAAAACAATAAGTTGTATGAAATTTAAAAAAAAGGTAAAAAATAGAAAATAGTTTGAAAAAAAATATACTACTATCCACAACTTGTTCCGTATTTTATTTTTCCATACATTTTTCGGGAAACGTTTTACCACGTCAACGTTTCCGAATCGTACCGTTTTTTTTTTTTTTTTTCGGAAAACGTTGATCCTCTCGGTTAATTATATTATTAATACTATGACATTGGCATTGTTAAGTGGTACAATATTCTAATATTTACAAAAACGTTTAATGCCGACGACGGCTAAACGACATCGGTCGGCGCACACTATTAGTAAATTACATTATTGCGTTATTCGTTCCGCCCTATGAATATTTTGTATAATGTATACATTTGTACACGCGGCGTATACAATCAAATTATGTACACGCACGTTACGGCGACATCGTTCGAGTTGTTTCCCCGGCCCTTTAACCCGACCGTTTTCCAAATGTGAAGCCAGATGTAACACGCATTATCTCGGAATTTTTTTTTCTTTTTTTTTTTTTTTGGCAATTTAAGAAACAAGCAGTTCTAAAAATGTATTATAATGTAATAGATCTCTGATCCGTACCGTTTTCGCATAATAAAGTCCGATTCATACTTGTACGGAAATGGCACGACACGATCGACACGAGTCAGACGATATCCGTCGAAATCGATTTAATTGAAATATATATATTTGCAGGTCACTATGTAGCAAAACGGATTCCTAAACTAATATATGTTACGTGGGTCCTTAACGACGAAATTCAAAATGAGTACTCAACTATTTTTTAAGTAATAGGGAAAAATAAATGTGGTAAGATTTTGGCTCTATAACTAATTCGCGTTGCCGTGCCGGAAACGGGTTAAAATAGGTACGAAAATCCGACTGATCGAAACGAGCATTGTAATCAAAATAATATCGGTTTATTATAACATAGTGCGTCTATCTCGTTGCCGGGTACTCTAAGTATATGAACCGGACGACATTTTCGTTCGTCGTGGCGTACAAGTGTGAATCGGGATTAATAGTGCACGAATTTCGGAAATATAATTTCAATTTATACAAGGAGGAGGTCAATCTTAAAAATAATCTTGTGTGTCAGGAACGTATATTATTTTAAATTGTATTTTCTGAAAATAGATACTAACATAGATACATTTAAGAGAACGTGTACGAGCATGATGTATTGTATCCGTTTCACATAGCAAATTTGCGTTAAACAGGGACAATTTTGTTAGTTTATGATTAAATCGAATTGTCCTGTTATCAAACTTAGAGGTAAAAATGCTGTTTGCACCGTTGCTATTGTAGGTGCTATTTTTTTCGATATTTCAATTTTCAAGCGGGATATTAAATGCGTTTTAAAAATTATGACATTTCACGTACTCGTATCTATTATCGACATTATTAATATATCGAAAAAAAAAAAAAAACGATAACGTGGCACTAATGCAATGATCAAGTACTGCAACAAGTAAATGAACAAAGGATAATGATACATGCCATAAAAACGAGAAAATTACAATGGCTACGCAAGGACGTACTTTTAGACATAACAGTCCTATACAAGTAGTTCTTGAAGGAATTATACCAGTAAAACAAAGAAGAGGAAGACCCAGAACAAATTTTATATCACGGACACGTGGAGAACTGGGCCTACTAAAATATGTAGATGTTAAATGGAAAATAGAAGACGGGAAAGAATGGGGGAGAGTTGTAGGAAGGCAGTAACAGTCGGGAGACTGAAAAAACTAAAAAAAAAAAAGAGAACGCTGTACAGACAATGTCCTCAATCCTTAAGTTTGATAATAGGTGACTTTGTGAATTATATCAAAACTAACGGCACAACGTTGTAAGCGAATATGCTATGTCGTATGTTTGTAAAACGGACAACCTATGAGGATATCGCACGGTATTATGCGTGGGACGCTTTTCATATATTTATAGGGAGTACTAATATTCGAACACGTTTAAAAATGAGGAATGGTCGCCGTAAATTAATGCTCAAGAGGACTGATACCCGTACGCGTTGTCTCCGTCTTACGAATGTACGACAAAGCAAATTATCGTTTAGCTAGGGTAATTTTGTGCTGTCAGTTTTAACATAACAGCGAATTGACCTATTATTAAATCTAAAATTGAGTATATTATCTGCGGAGGTTTCTCGATATTTTCATTTTCAAGCGGGATACGAGTACGGTAACTATGCGCATTTAAAAATGCGTAAATCTCACATAAAAATCGTAAATCGAAAAACATCTACGCTTATAGATAACGGTCTTGCCTTTACGTTCGATAAAACCGAGCCATTTCAGACAGTATCAGCTAAATCACTCTAATATTAAAAATAAAAGCATAAAGTTTTCCCGTTAATAGAAACATCACGTCTGGGTATCACGTCCTATTAAAAAGGTGTCCGTATCGACCATATCAATACGCAAAATGCGTCGCCGTACTTAAATTTATGTTCGTATATTATGTAAATTTTTAAAATTATAATTTTTTTTTTTTATACTGTCCGCACAACATATTGTTATAATCTATAAAATAGTTAACGTATGAAAAATAATGTCACTGAACGATTTTTTTCTACAACAAAACAACATGAAATGTAAGATGCACGTAAAGTAATTGGTTATGCCATCGTTATAATAATGCGCACGAATACCGAATAAGTTTATTTTTTTTTACAAGGACTTGTTCAAATTAACGTACAAAAAAAAAAAAAAATGAATTATTAACCTAGCCTATATGAAAAGTGTATTACAGTATAATACTTTATGAATTTAAGTCAAACAAAACCTCAAAATATTACATTTTTCGAATGACGTCGTAGACTACTTAATGTTAAACATAATTGTGTTCGTTTGCCGCCCGTAAAAAATTATTAAAACTTCATGCGACCAAAAAGAAGATTTTGCTCGTATTTAGCGTATTAAAACGTGATTAGCTACACGTGATTTTATAATACGTAATTTTACGAAAATTAACGAAACTCCCGTACCCCGCCATAGGATAATAGACGAACTAAAAATCGTATACGTCAGTTTTTCTTTTTGTATTATACTATCGTAAACACGCGATAAAAAGAAAAAAAAATACAATTTGTAATTCAGTGCGTACAATGTATACGCTTTTTTTTTTTTTTTAATAATACCTATGTCCGTAACGTTATTATATATTATCGCGTGCGGCCATGTAAATGGCCTAAGGAGTTAGTATTAATTCGTTCTAAAAGGGGGTACACAGTTCTATTTAGTTTTTGTTTTTTACTTTTTCAACATAGTCTCAATCAAGGGGTGCAGCCGGTTTCCCATAATATTAATAAATAATTGACCGTGATTATTTTCTTCGTATTTCATTAGACTTCGTTACGGTTTTAAACCTAAAACCACGGTTTTTTTTTTTTTTTTTTATTACGATCCATCGCCGGAAACGGACATTTTAACAAACAGTAAATAACAGTAAATTCAATAATTTGGTGTTTCGTAAATCGACATTTTTCTAAAAAAAAAAAAAAAAAAAAAATGCTATAACGATAATAATAGCAATGTGTTTATTGTGTACGGAACAACAGTAAAATGTAAAAATATACTAAAAATACGATCGTTAAATGATTTGACAATAGTTGTAAAAGAAAACCAAATCAGTTTAGCTCGTACGTAATTTATGGATCAAGAGAAAAAAAAATTACCTCTTGCGGTTTCAATTAATAGCGGAATAATATTAAGTAAAATTTAGAACTGACCAATCGGTAAAAATAGCGATTATCGAATCGAAGGCCTGACGAATAATTGAACAATCAATCATGTCTTTTACTTTAAACCTTGTTTTTATTATTATTTCACTCGCGATCTAATGCTTTTAATTGTCATTATAAACCGTTTTTTTTCTCCCCTTTCCTCCGTTTAAATATTAAAACTCGATATTGATTATAATGGAATTTTATGATCAAAACGGCGAAAACAAATGCATACGGACAATTATGATTTGTATGCACATTTTCATTAAAACACGTACCTACATGAATATCGTTCAGTCGATTACAATTTATTTCATCGATACCTACGAGTCGTAATATCGAAATCGTTACCAGTCAATTTAAAAAACTCAGTAACTGAAAATAAACCATTTAGTTTGATATTGAGCAAAGTCATAATGGGACGGTCAAGTAATATGACGGCAGGCGAATGCGAAGCGAGTGAGAGGATTAAATATTTAGGATACCTTTTATAAAATAAAAGTCTTCCGAGAAAAGACTGTAATATAAAATGATAATTAGAGTTAAATATTGTTTTAATTAATCTATGACACGTTTAATATTATTCGCACGTAAATAAATATTTAAAACGATTTACAACGTCTCAAACGTAACTTAATATTTTAATTTAATCAGGACGGTATCGTTAAAATTCCGGATAAAATCCCGCCAAAAAAAAAAAAAAAAACCAACGAAAACGAAACAAACTATAAAGTAAACGGATTTTTCATCTTCAAAAACTTTTCCCTCGCATATTTTAACAGCATTATGGGACTGGCCTATAGCAAATTTTATTGGTACACGTTTGAAATTTATTAAACGGGCGTGTTTAAAAAGTTGGGTTTGGTGTATTTACATGTGTTTACATATTATCATATAATATTTTTTTTAAACGTGTATTCTTATATTTCGTTTGACTGGTGTTACAATTATGTTTATATTTACTCATATACATAAATAAATATCAATTGTAAACTATGTTTGTGATTTTCATCAAGAGTCTATAGCATAATGATATGGCCCTTGTGATTTTTTTCGTTATAATCAAATCAAGTATGTTGATGGTGTTTTTTTAAAAGGGTGCATACCAATGAAAACCGAAAAATACGATATTGGTATCGAAAAAATCAGAAAAATTAGAAGTATAGACTGGTAAAAGGGCGTATTTATATACAGGAAATTTAAGTTGGTAATACGGACTAAAATATATCCAGGTGCCCTTTTTAAATCAACACCGATATGTTAAAAGGGCGTATACCGCATTCAATGCCTGTATACTTTTTGTACAAGGTATTATGTTTCCGAGTAATTTTATTGTTTTCCACAATAAACATCATTAAAAACCGTTTTGCTGTTTTCTTTTGTGTAACGTATACAAATGCATATTATATTATATGAAATTTTAACACGTTTTGAAGAGAATATTAAAATACTCATTTGAAAAACAAAAATAGATATATAAATGTCCAAATAAACTCTGTTCAACATGCCCAATTAATTAATTTCAAACGCGTGTCTTTAAAATTCACTATTTTCCGCCTATAAGCGAAAATTTGAAAGGAAAATATCATGGAATATCCATTAAATTTACAGTGTTTTTAGCTATCCTTGTTTCTTTGTTTGTTTTTTTTTTCGCGGAAAATCCGTCGATTTTTGTTGTTTCTTTGACGACGAGCGGGTGGTGCGTACTTATTATATGGATTGCACAGTGTAATAATTATATTTCATAATCCACAAAAAATTAATTATGCTCGTAATAACTTAAACATAAACTCTAAATAACTTTTACCTTAAACGTATTATTATATTTTAATTTGTCCGTAGGAAAACGATTTTTGTTAAATAAACAAATAAGTTGTTTATTTAATACCGCAAACTATAAGCATAAGGTATTCGGATTGTATAATTAAGTATTCTGAGCCAACAAGTTTAAGATAATATAATATGCACCGAAATTATGGAAAAATTAAGTACCTAAATATCAACTCGAAGTTATATAATATTTAAGAGTTTAACTGGTGAATTAAAACATCTAAATAGTTCGTCTATAACGGATATTAGTGTGAAATATTAATTTTGTTTTATTAAAAGTTCATTAAAATAGTTTTTATTACCGTAGTTTATATAAAAAGCCGGTTTTAGGACACCCGTGACTGTACTTCTTCCCGCATATGTCTTATCATGAACTTGTGCCTGTATCTGATTCTGACCCTCCTGTGTATACAAAAATATTCAAATCTTTTCCAACCCATCATTCGCAATGTTCACTGCGTATACCATACAGGCACCGAAAGGAAGATCAGAATCGGGGCGATCAAGCAGACACCGGTTCGGGTTCGGACGAAGGTGTTCTAAGACCGTCATTTTATAGGTACTACTATTCTAAAATTCAAAAATTATTTTTTATTAAATTTCCGTCGCCCAATTGGAATTCATCCATAGATTACCTATATCCGAAAAACCAACGTTTACATAATAATAAATCGGTTTTCTTCGGAGATATTTATAGAGCGACAAGGGACATTTGAGACGTACTGTAACTACAACAGTATAATGGGTGTTATAAATTATCGCGTGCAATATAAAAAAAAAACAAATTAAGATATTTCATAAAACAAAAATTAAGTACTCGAATTTTTTACTCTCGTGAAACGCGCATTTCTATATAAAACTGGCAGTTTAATAATAATAACAAATTGAGTTCGCATGTAACTATTATAAGTCGCAATGACAAAATTTGTGATCTAACAGGTCTCCTAGACAGGAAATGTTGCGCTCGATCATCGTCGCGTTTTTATCTCAATTATTTACGTATCTCTAGAATGTGCACCTAAAGAAATAACAATATTATGAGTATGTTATTTGTATAACTATTATATTATTATACTGTATAATACAACTCGGGCTCGAGATATCTTTATCGCGATGTTATTTATGACGAACAAACACGCGTGAATTGCAAATAATGATTTATTATGATGGGTTGTTCTGACGACGAGCGATCGAACATCATGTAGACCCCATCAACATTCGATGGATGTCCGGATGTGAGTGAACGATGGACAAATGAAAAATGAATGTAGTAACACGATCATAGTCGAAAGCTTACCAAAGGCGTGCGTGAACTATAATTAGTAAGTAATAGAACAAAATTTAAAAAATAAAATAATTCCGTTAATTTTTAATTATTTAATTTCGATCAGATAATTTTGAAATAATTGTCTAGCTTTTCGAGTTTTATTGTACACTGAAATACTCTAACCCGAATTCTTGAAATGAAAAATTAACTATAGGTAATATTGGGTTTTTTGGGTTGGTATTTTGTTAAAAATCTAGATTTAAAATTAAAATATGCTGCAAATGCGATCTTTTTTTATATGTTAATTTCTATATTAATATATATACATTTCTGAATGAAATGGTTTTTAAACCAACGAAAAGAAAAAATATATTATTAATCTCGTAGGCGTATAAAGGATTGGAAAATACAGAATTTGGTCGAGACTAATAGGTTTTAGACATACAATTGAAATCTGAATCAAAATATTAAAGGTAGGACTCAGGATTACTCAGGAAGGTATAACTCTCCCTGTTTACGTTTATCGTTGAACTTCGAAGTCAGTTTTAACTTATAGTTATTATTTTTGCCGTTTATTTTTTAACGAAAAAGTTAGACATTTAGTAAATTAAAAAAATAAATAAATAATAATTTAAATTGCTTTCTCTCCTAATTAATTTTTTTTTTTTTTTATGATAACCTACTGATCTTTAATGAGTTCCGCGTAGTTTAGAACAACTCGCTCAGGATTGATATACATGATAAAATTATATTTTTATCCGTGAGTTTATACGGACGACTTTAATTCCTTTTGTAAGTCTTGGAATAATTGTACCGCAGTAATGAGTCCCCTTTATATGGTTTATACTTTTGATCGAATCACGATTTACGAGTTCATTGTATAATACAGTACACTATAACCTCAAGAGTCTTTGGTGGTGGGTGTCTAATAATTTAAAATACCTACCATTATACTCGAATCTCGGAGACGTACCTACTTAAAATAAATTGAATACACGATACTATGATTTAATTAATATTACTACATATCACGAGTTTTATTATAGCATACGGTACATTTGTTGTTTTTTATATTATGTTTACAAAAATCCAAAAACCACAAAAATAATAAAATGTGTTATTGTTTAGAAAATGTGTATTTTAATAATAGTGCGGTATACTCGTATTACTTTCCGGTTTCGTAGAACTTTTTTTTTTTCTTTGTAACACTAAAATATTTATTCTGTTGAGTTTTCCCGGACACGTGTTTAATTTAAAAAAATACATACATAGGCTATGGAGTGTAAAAATGCATACTAAATATGTTTCCTAAACGAAATTATATTTAGTATCTCGTATAGTAATACAGTTCTGGAAGGTAATGTATTTATTATTGAGTATGTAGTATGAATTTGTTTTAATATATTTCGCCCATCCCTGCGTATATCTACCCCAAATATCTAGCGAATGTGTTATTTACTATTTTTGTTTGTTATTTAGTAGTAGATTAGATATTGGATCAGTAGATAGATTATAAAACGTTAATTCATAGTATTCTGAGGCCATTATTGAAGATATTTTAGAAAAAAAAAAATTAAACTTAAACCCCATCGGTTCATTTTGAATACCTTCCCTTTACTTTTAACTTTTTTTTTTTTAGATGCCTATAATTTTAGAGTTGTATAGAATTAATTTTTTATTGATTATATAAGTAGATACTCTCATTATACTAGTGAACGTTTAAAAAATATTTTATTTTATATCTGTTTACTTTAATTATTATATGTAGCAAAAACCAAACAAACAAATTAATTTAATGTGAAGTTTAATTATGAATTGTTTTTATTAAAATTAATGATTTAACGATAATAACTAAAGGTGATATCTCATATCTTTAATAAAATTATATGAATATAATTAAATAATATTAATGTTTGGATTTCCACTTGATGAATTTGATACATACTGGTTCGGTTTTCCTTGGAATCAAAATTAGCGTGTGACAATATTATACCTACCTAAGTGTAATATTAGTTATCAATTTTCACACACGTTGGTAAAAACAAAACGGAAACATAGGCAAATACTTTTCGTATTATTAGAGTTAACTGCAGTTTTGTTAACATTGTTAAATTAAACTAAAATTTGTTAATTTTATTTACGTACAAGTGCATTATTACTAACCTGTTCGATAATATTAACGATTTCCGCAATAAAACCGTATCGAAAATGATAATAAGTTATTATTATTATATTTAAAAAATATTGTGTGTTAAACATACTATAAAGTTTAAATCGGTAAAAAACTCGTCATTACAATACACCGATAGAAGAATACGTAGATATTCGCGTTTGTAATGAAAATACGTTTCGGTAATTGAAGTTTTTACACGTCATTCGACCTGAAACACAGACACTTCAACAACTTCAAGTTTATATTATTATAAATATGCTTTTTATTGTTTCAATAGTTTGGATTTGTATATAGCAGATAATTATGGCGAATGCTGCTACTACAAATAAGCTAAGTAGCGAATGTGGTAATTTCTGAAATAGAAAAATAATATTATTATTATTATATTATTAGCGGACGACGCAGACAGGTCACGTTTTATATTTATACAGAAAAAAGATTTTGGTACATAAAGAATTATTTTGGTTAGGTAACTAACCAAAGCATGGCACTGGTACCTAATTAAATCAAAGAATCGAATGGTTAGATCATACCCTAACAAGAGGAAACAATGTCCCTGTTAGGACAGTTTTTGAAGAATGCAAACTTCAAGGAGACCGAACACGGGGTCGATCCAGAAAGAGATGGATTGACGGAGGGATAAAACACAATATTAACTTAATGGGTATAGATAATTGGCAAGAAATTGTGCGAGACAGAGAAAAGTGACCGGATATTGTAGTGACGGCTAAAACTCTTAGAGAGTAATATGGTTAGCATAAAAAAAAATAATAAAGACATTTTTACGGTTAAGTTCGAATTATGTGTTTGGTAAAAAACAAGTGAAGGTAAATCTAGGTAAATCGTTTAAATCGTAAATGATCGAGGCTTTTGCGTTTTAATTACACGACACGTTTTTCGCGTTTATTTATTCACTAAGAGTATGACGGACCAATGAAACGCAATGAACATTCTGCTTTCTGGAAATGACAGTATAGTATTCACGGTTATAATATATATTATTTTAAATTTAAATACGACGTCGTGGCGTGAACCGAAAGATACCGCGGCGGCGGCATACCTAATGCCATCAATCATGTTCGAAACTTTGATGTATAATATTTTCAACAGTTCCTCGATCGTCCTTTTGAACGTAAACAATCGAAGGTTCAGAACACTATCATCATAATCGTAATAATAATAATAATAATAATATAACCACTAACGGAAATTTACTTTGAAAACTTTCGATGAATTATTAATTAATAAACAATAAATAAATAATGAATAATAAATAATAATAATATGAATATGAATTTGATTGATAATTTATAATATGAATATTTGATGAGTATTTTCTGCAGTCGCGATGAATACGAAAAAAACGTCGATGGTATACAATAATTTCGATTAAACACAATGATAACAGTGTTATGAAAAAATGACACAGCGTCGGCGAATATAATAATATGTTAAAGACGACAAGTAGGTAAGTATATATAGTTTTTAATGGGAAAAAACTATTGCGATTTTCGCAGGATAATGTACAATATGTTTAGACTTTGATACTTTTGAACAAGACAACTATGTATTTTATATATCGAGTAAAATATATATATATTTTTTAAAAAATGACTCATTATCTTAACTACTTTGAGTGAAAAAACGCAGTGGATTTTTAAAGCGATAATTTTAAGTTTACCTTTTAAAATGGAAACATAGATTTTAAATTATCGATTTTCAAAACCAACATATTATTGTGCTTTTTTTTCTGGCCGTTAACATTTTTTCTACCAAAAGCCTCGCTCCAAAAATCAATTTCATGGACGGTACCAAATTTAATCCAGTTGGAGATCGTGTTTATTTTTCTGGTAGTTTTCTTACTAATACGAAAATAACTTAAAAAAATACCCGAGAATACTTATGCAATAACTGTTTCTGTTATTTTATATTTTGTTTTAAGTTGTGATTCGATTAAAAATAATCAAAGTGACTTGGAAATTTCCTCGAACACCTAATTTATTATAACTTTGTAGGCGTGGTGCAAATTTCAAAAATACCATGTCGTGTTTTTGCGTTGTTAATATTTTAACGATATTTGAAATTTTCTAGTTATTTTTTTAAATTTATTCTGATAGAAATATTTTAATTTATTTTCATCAGCGTTTAAAGTTCAAATATATCTTAAAATTCGTTAAAAATACGAGCAATTTAATTTACTTTGTTACTAAGTTATTAATTCAATTAATTTTAAATTTAAATTTATCATAATATGTTTAATGTTTATCTGAACTTTGCTCGTTACTGTTTCTCGTTTACAGTGAATTATCGTTGCATACAAATATTATATTACCCTATATATACTTATTATACCTTAGTATCTTTTCAATTCAGGTAACACAATTGGCCCACCTATGAACGGTATCAGTTTTATAATGTCTATTGTTTTTTTACATTTATTATTCAAGTTATATACAATTTATGCCTTTAGGGACAATCACTATTTCTATTCCCTTATCCTATAAATAGGGACTATTTTTTTAATTTTAAAACGAACAACTGAATAAACTATATCCGTAACCAGGGATAACCATGTGAATCACCGAGCTTTTTGTAGATAGCATTTATTTTCCCTCTTTTAGTTGGTTTATTTGTATACCATAGAAACGAGCGTTTCGTTTATCTTGTCTACCTTTGTGCGTAATATTATACTAAATTTACAACAAAACGTCAAATCAATAAATTGTTGTTTTTCGCGTTACGAGTATAGGTATTTTCGATCGCATGCCGCATGTCCAAGTAAATTTTAACGAGTTTGCGTCTCAACAATAAATTATTCTCGATGGACTCTTCCATCGAGTTTGCACATAAGTATTTGACGAACACGGAAGTTGTTCCGGATACCGGACAACCTCCTCATTTGGATAATGGCAAGGTGCGGTTGCCCGTGGTGTTGTATCCACCCGATGAAGGTTTTTGGTCGGTGTGCACTTGCGTGTTAGGTTTTTTAGCCTCTATGATTTTAGACGGAGTGTGCTTGTCTTTATTTTTGTATGACAGCCGGGTCGGCATGACCGAACAAGTTTCGCGGCCGATGCTTGCCCTTGAACACTTGGCCATCATCTGCCTGTGCCGGCATTTAATCGGTAGGTACCAATATAATACTTACATGTGGTAACACGTTTGGGTGAATTTATTTTGCACTCGCTTCAGCCTTAGTTGGTATTTTGTAAAACATGAGTGTCAGATAACAATACCGTACACGAGCAGTGACCGAACCAGAGAGTAGTATAAATACCGAAGACAGTTAGGAAAAGAGAAATATTTAATAGTGATTGGCAACAATATCGATAATTCGATACGATATCGATATCGTGACGAAATTTCGATATCGATATTATATTCTGTATCGGGAATTATTTGTAGCTATGATTAGTATTAAGTAATAATATCTGTCGGCCGATAATGTTAAATTATTATTATATAATTTATAATGTTATCTGTCAAGTCGGTGAACGGTCACTTTGTACGGTCTATTGTTAAATCCAAGGAACGCGGACACTTTATACTTTATACATAATACAAATTAGCACATATAAATAGTATATACAGAATAAATAAATAGAATACATAGTTTCATAAAAAAGTTGATAGAGTGAGTCGTGAGTGGGAAGTTTGGAGGGAGCCAACTATTATTGATAGTAATACTCTGTTACTTCTTATCATACAACGATAATATTTTTATTTGAAACTGATGGTAGTTAATTTTGATCGGGGAAATATGATTAAAGTTGAGAAAATTATTATTGATAAAAATCCACGTAAAATTCTACATATAAACGGCAAATATAGTTTTTACTCTGTGAACACGTTTTCTCCTACTAAACTTGCTCAAAAGTATCAAATGTAGCGACTTTTCTAAAACGTCATTTTCGTGGAAAGACACTTTAAATAAGTAATTTTTTGATTTTCGAAACGCATCTCGAATAGTGATTTAGCCGAAAAAACGTACGATTTCACGATTTTACTATGTCAAATAATTACGGACGACGTTTTCTACCAAAAATATTGCTCCAATTGGTAAATAATAAGAGATTTTTAAAGTTGCATTTCGTAAAATGTTAGCTAATTTTGAGTTATACATTTTAATTTTGGAAGTTTATTTGTTGTTATTTGGTTGAAAAAACAGTCGTAAAGATTTGAAATTTAGCATGTACACTTATTTTGGCGTTTCTTAGAGGTGGTAAAATTTTCGAAAACATTTAGCCACTTTTGAGATATTCATAGAGTAATATAAATGTATAATTTTTGATAGGTACCTACTATATGGATAAAGCTGTTGGATTGGTCATAATTAACCCATCCTCAGTATCAAACATCCCGTAATAAAAAGTCTAAGCTTTTTATTTATTCTATATATACTATTTGCATAATGTATATAATGTTTAATAACGTATAATATATGCTATGTATATGTATTATAAATATTGTGTTTATAATAGTACAAAGTGTCCACGTTCCGTGTTTTTTTTTACAGACCATACAAAGTGACCTAGAACCGTAAAGTTATGTATTACGTAGTTTTTTATAGTTTAAAAATACTTTTTTTTTCGGTTTGCTTATATTTTTGTATTCAATATGACATTTTTCTCACTGATAAAATACGTTTGATGTTTGAACAAGGCACCTATAAATACCATTGGATAATTTGATTCACGGTTTAAATTATGTCATCGGTGTGACGTCGTGTGACATAATTATATAAATGTTCGTTAGTTTAGATTATAAGATTAAATAAACACATTAAATATTTGAAAACCCATTTTTTATAAAAATAGTTTTCATTTAAAATTTAAAATATTATATAATATTTTTCAAAATTTGTATTTATTTTTATTTAATAATAAAATATTTAAAATACCTAATAGTAATATTTGAATTAGTATTAATATATTTTTGATACGATATCGATATCATACAACTCAGGATACATTACGATACCGCGATACAATATCGCGAAAATCGGAACGATATCGGTACCCTAAATTATATCGTTGTCCATCACTAATATTTAGTATTACGCTTGATAAAATCAATAACTTTTAGAGCTCTACCTTTGGAAAGTAAAAATAGACCCAGAGTGGTCGGAGAAAAGATTAGCGGGTTCTAAATGAAAATTAGTTTAGGTACTATACAGAGATCGAGATGGGAGTTGTTCTTTTCAAGCCATGTACATATTTCCAGAAGTTTTGAGAAGAGTAAAAAAAAAGGAATTAGGGAGTGAACTTTAACCCACGGAGGATTATGTATTGCCGCATTGTGTATTGTTTATTATTTTAAAGGCTGTATTATAATTTTACAATCTCCTATGTTCAATAACTATCTGTTTACAGAACCGTTTACATGTGCGTATATCAACCGGTACGGTTTTCGATATTGTTTATTTTTCGGCAGTGTATTATCCGTCACGTGGATAACGACGTTATTGTTATTATCCGAAAGAAAGTTACCTGTCGAACAATTATATTTTGTTTTGGCTGCCGTTGTCGGAGGTAAATCCAGAAATAATTAGTTGATAAGTTTAAAATGACATAATTTAAATACACCGATTGTTCTTTGTTCGTATATTAAACGTCATCTTATAATCATATAATATCAGTCCATATCTATTTTATATAAATTAACAACTCAAAGTAACGGACGCGTTGCTCCTTTATTACCATGCAAGAGCATGAGGAGTTATGAATATAGATAAATAACAAAATATTATAAAATATAGAATGTTCCACTTATAATGCATCAACCATTTTCTTGGAAAATTTCTAAATAAATTTAATTTTTTTTTCCATCATTATGGAAACGTTTGAAATGCATATTAAAACTATTTTGAATTAGTTACTCCTACTCATTGTGCCTGAGTATATACTATTGGTTTTCAAATAGAAACCCCTTCCTTCGATATGAGAATAAATTTTTGACGAAAATTAATTAACCGTGTATCATAATAAAATAATAATAATATGAAATAATAATTCACAAAAAGCGTAGTGTTTCGTGGTTTTTTCTAGTTTTCTGGAGACACATTTTATTGGTTTCTCGAAAACGTTCGAAAGCATGTTGAATGCTGAGTTATTGATAAATAACAACAATTCATATCATTGCTAACAATTATCAATTAAATCATTCTATATACAATATGTTATTATCCTAAATTACTAACTTCCCACATACAAGAGTAGCACACCCATACGGATTTATTTTTTATTTTTTAATTTCAACAGTTTAGATTAGAATTTAAAATACTTCGATTATAGGCATCGGAATCGGAATGATTAAAACCGCGTTCGTCGTTCTGATATCTTCGTTGTTCCTCGTCAACCGTCAATACGGTCATTTGTGCCTGCAACTGGGAAGTTCAGTAGGCATGCTGATAATACCCCCTATTACGGAATTCTCAATAATCCGTGTCGACTGGAAATCGTCAATGTACCTTCATTTAGGTCGGTATAACCATACAATATGCCAGAATTGAATTGTTCAACAGTTGCATATAATTATATAATTTGTATTACGATGTGAAATTAATTAATTATCATCAATGTACATATAGTTTCGATGTGTTTTACGCTGATAATTTGGTTACTGGTCACCACGCCCGTTCCGTTGATCATCTGTGACGAAACGTCTGAACATGCGAATTTTCAACGTCACGTATCTGGTGGATTTGTTGGCACAGTCGCCAATAAAAAGTAAAAAACATATTTTAGATTCTGTTGTTTATCTGTTAGCTGCATTTTTACCAGAAATCTTGCTCCTGTCATAAATTTCAGGGGTGGTTTTTGGTAGCAAATTATGTCCAGTAAGTGCATTGAGGTAATTTTTTGAGGTGCAATTTTCAGAAACAGCCTATCGTTTTTTTTAGTTATTAATGGCCGTTTTGAAGTTGTCTAAGTTTTTTTGTTTTGTTCTACATTGATAAAAATAAATTATATTATTTTTATCCTCATGAAACTTGTATCAAATTTAAATTTATGTTTTAATTTTAAAATTAAATTTTCAATTACAATCAGAATATTTAATGAAATTTCGTATTAATTGGCGAATATTTAATTTTGAAGTTTTTTTTTATCTAGCACATGTTTTACAATGAACATTTGTAATTAAGATAATAATAATTAAAAAAAACGACATCTTTTTGTCGTACGCATAATTAAAAATGTAATAGCATATAATAATTATCTAAAATGTTGGAATTTGTCTAGTTAGTTTTTGTTTCTTTCTTCAATGCTTACAGTTTCTGGTAACTACCATTTTCAGATCACGATTCATGCCGATAACGGAGCAAACGCCGTTGTGCAGTTCTCGCAGCGACAATGAGCCTGTGGGCCTTAACGCCATTTGGCTGTACGAAAACAAAATAATCGGAAGGACGTGCGTTCGGAACTTGACGAATATATTTAAAGACCGAACGATCGGTGGTCGACCGATGTACCGACACGACATACTGTTCGAGAGTAACATCATGTTGTTGGCGGCCAACTTAAAATCGGTACACATTATTATAATAATATTATGTTTTACATTGATAAAATGCCTGATATATGTATAGCGACGCAATAGAAGTTCCGTTTTACAATAAAATTATCATCACACCTTATTATTACAATACAGATAAATAATGTTTCTAAATAATTAAGGTGTCTTAAATTAAAAAACGAATATATGTAAAAATAAAAATGGGTTTATAAATCATATTATTATTATCATCAGAATTCGTAGTATAATTATTTTTGGAGGATTTTTCACCGGATATTTAAGTTAGGTTTAGTTAAATCGATAAATTATACTCTCGACTGTAGTTTTAGGAAGAACAAAACAGGTTTAGTTATTTTTGTAATTTTCACAAATAGCCGTTCGATAAAAATTTTATATTAAAATCGATGTTACATAGTGTTTTAAATATGTGTTTAAAACATTTTATTTAATTATCCATGTTGGGGTTGAGAAAAATAAGCAAGTGAAAAACGAGCATACGGAAAAAAAGCAATTTATTTTTTTTACTTATTAAAATACATAAGGTAGGCATATTATAATATAAAAGTAATATTATTGAATAGTACTACATATTATATAGTACTATATCATAGTTATTTAACCATTTTTTAATACAATTTAATACCATTACATATTCAATTAGAATATTTCAAAAACGTTTTCACAAAAATATTTATCGGAGCAAGTTATCGAAATCTGCAGTTCATAATAGAATGCAACAAAAATGACTACTATTGTAGTGCCAAGTACAAAGTATATATATATCAACATGAAATAAATCTATGGCCATAGCATATTGTGGAACAAATAAATTATCTAAACATGTTTGATTCAAAATAAGAACAACTGGAGAAAACAAATTTTGTTTTATACAAGTATGGTTTATAATTTATAACTATTTATTTTTAAAAACCAATATGTGCATTATAAATTTAAAAGTATATATTTAATAAGTCATATGAAATAATAGTACATTACATCAAGTATAAGTATAGAAAAACAATAATTGTATTAAATTCAAAAAAAAAAATTCCGTTAGTTATTGTTGTAAAAACGTTTAAAATATTATAATTGAATTTATAATATAGTCAATGATATTAAAATTATAGTGCGGAGACATATAAAATTATATGATACTATTAAATATGTAGTACTAACAAATAATATTACTTATTTTAGATTCCGAATGGAGCGAAGAAGCTTATGGTTTTACAAAGATGTGTATTTTTCTTTTCTGTGGACAACTTTACTACCGGAGATCTTGCTCCGATTTTTAAGTGTAGCGCCTTTTTTGAAAGGAAATTGGAGTGCGGAGGTACTCTAAGGAAGTCATTATTTTATTTTCCCAACATTTTTTCTCAACAAATGGAGAAAACTGAAAAAAACTTAAGAAAAAAGTAGGAAAATCGGTACATAAAACATATTTTGACAATACCTATTTAATTATTTTACCACAATATGTCATAATATATAATGTATATATATGTAATATATAATATATAATAATGTTGACAAAACATCACTATTAACTAAACTCCACTTAGAGTCCGCTTTTTTTTCGTTATCAATGGTTGATCGTTAATTTTAGGTATACATTAAATTACCTGTAACAGTGAGTGCACCCAATCCTATTATCCTAGGACGTCGTATTATAATGTGTAAAATAAATACTTTTTTACCACTTGCTTTTTTTTCTACTTTTTCCATATGCTTTTTTCACCTGCTTTTTTTTCTAAACTCCCCTATATTACATTCCAGAATTGTAGTGAAATAACTCATACGTTTTTAAAAATTAAATTTTGTATTCTCTTCAAAATGTTGGGAACATCCAACGCTGATATTATGAAAGCTATAACTTCGTTGCGAAAAAATCGGTTTGATCTCCTCGCTTCTCTTAAGAAATTAATTCAGTCACAGGATTCTCAGTTTCTCTGAATTGTGTAATAATTTGTCGACCATATTTTCCTAAATTATTGAACTGAAACAAGAAAACTCGTTACTCTATGGAGAATTGTCTTCTCTAAAGACCAAAATCGTTCGGCTAGAAGGCGACGCCAAAAACCCTTCAGACAACTCACCAAATAATTTGCCATACCAAATTATTAGTGAGACATCTGAGTGAGACCGATACACTAAGAATATTATTATTAATGGGTTACCTTAGTTAGACTCTAATATTTTGCACGATAAAATTTCTTTAGGCAATAAAAACCTATCCGTATTAATAATAATATTAACAATAACAATAATAATAATTGGTGAAAAAAACAATTCCTATTACTTCCGAAAGAATGTGTTATATTTCCCTAATTGCTAGTATTTTCTTAAATAATCGTGATAACTCTATTTATAACTAACTATTATAATGATATGATGTTAACAAAAAATAATGTTCAAAAAATACAAAAATATGTATTTTTGTTTACAATGGAAAATATATTTAAAACATATTTCGATTGTTCTGTGTGTAGCACAAACTGAATCCGAACCCGGTTCTGACATCGGTACTAACCGTTGACGATGTCAACGATGAGAAACATAACCGGTTCAGATTGTGCTCAATTGCCGTGACACGAGTGCTGAAATCAATGTTTAACATGTCAATTTGGCGCCACAAAAGATTTCTTGCGTTCGCAGTGAGTGAAGCTCTGGTTGAAAGTTCATATTTAATACCATTTGTTTTTATTAAAGGTAAACTATAATTTGATTTGTATTTACTTTACATGACATCACCGTATTGAGGGTGAAAAAACCTATGGGGGTCACAAATAAAAAGCATACATTGTCAGCCTAAAACTAAACACAGTGAAATGGTGCAGACATATTTTTGTTATACAACTCTGATAATACAAAAACACGTTAAAAATAATAAATATTCCCATGCTCTTTTTCCATGAATCTGGGTCTGAACTTCGCCTTGGTAGCGAATCATATTATAGTACAGCTATGCGCAAGAAAGTCAAATTTTCAGAAAAAAAAAGATGTCCTAGAATAATGGGAACGGGTGCAGCCACTGTTGTAGATTGTTATAGTTGGAAAGATAGGATACAGAAGGGAATTCAATGTATATCTGTAAACAACGATAAACCATTGTTCCTGATAAACCACTCCTCTTGTGTGGAGGCAATAGTAATGCATTGTCAATAATATATATGTATAATTATGGTAGTATAACAAAATAGGGATTTTTTTTTTTTAATAATATTTCTTTAATATTGTACCGATTTTCTCGCTTTTTCTACGTTTTTCACGGATTTATGGATTTTCATGCTGTTTCCCAAATTTTCACATTTGCTGGAAAAACTCTTGAGAAAATCGAAAAATGACATTCTTAAAGTACTTTCCCCGTCAGATTTCCTTTCGGAAAAAGTACTATTAGTATAAATTGAAGTAAAATCGCTAATAGTAAAGTTTTTCACATAAAAAAAAAAAAATAAACATCTTTGTAAAATTAGTACATTCTTCTGTATACTCAGAATCTAAAAGGTTTCATTGAAATATAAAAACCATGCTATTTTTAAATATTTTTTTTATCTACATAAACTTACTACTTACAAATGAAACGACGGAAAATTATTATCTGGAAGAAGCATTATTTTTTCTATACTGAAAAGTTAAGTGAATCTCATCGTCCATCGGGTATCTACTAAGACGTGGAAATGCGAATGGAAGACCCAGACAGTCCTTCAGCAGTGGCATTAATTAATTAATGGGTTTCAATTTATACCAGCACTTATAGCATGCGGTGTATTATATGTAGTTTTAGTTACAACGACAAGGCCTAATCTTTAGACACTGATAATAATATTATTTTTGCATACTATTCTTATAATACAATTCATATTGATGCATATGTTTTCTTATGTAATTTGTAAAGGTATCGTAGGGCAGAAAACGTCCGCAGAAGCAATGATTACTCTTATCGCGGGTTGTTTGGGTTTGTTGGTTGGTCGAGGAGTAGGCTTTTTGTTGCACGAAACTTCGTCAACATGCGTTCCCATGTACCACGTGTGCTTGGTGTTATTTGCCAACAGCTTATCGTTGCTCTTGTGTTCTAAAACTATTAACGTTTTCGTAAACATATTACCGTGTTTTGGACTTTATGGATTTACGCGAGGTAAGGGTTTTTTTTTAAAAATATTTTTACGACTATAAATATGAATTATTATATTTATGAACTTGTATTTTTATCTGAACGTTTTCTAGGATATTACGAATCAATGCGAAACACGGTGTTCTGTTTGGGTGTTTTTCCGTTAAAGAAATTTATCAACGTTCGCGGGCAAATCGCCTTGGTTCGAGCTATATCATCTTGTTTAGGATTACTGTCTGCAAGTGAGTTCTTTTAGTTTCAATATTTCAACGATTATTATTATTATTGTTTTTTAGTCATAGTATTAAAGTACTCGTCGCATATTATATTTTGTAGCAAATTATTCTGTAAACAATTATTAGATCCTTGGTAGCATTAGTTCACACATTCTAGGTTTCTACCTTATGACAATTTGCGGTTGCGTAATTGGGGTGTTAGAAGGGCAAAATTCTACTGCACGTGCGCCATCAGTTCTGTGATGTTTGAACATGTTTTGGAACAAACCTAAGACATTATTATTACTAAAACGAGTAAAAATGTCCATATTTAAAAACTGTAGACATTCTCCTCAATTTTGATAGAATATACCACTTATATTGATCGTATTTTTTTTTTTTTGCAGTAACGATCCTGGAAAATACGTTAAACATGGCCAACGTGTACATGTTTGCAGCTTCGTTGGCAGCGTTCGGAGGATTGTTTTTGGCACTTTTGAATTAAGTGTTTAGATTTTCGCCGCTGATTTTAGATTTATTTTATTTCAAACAGTTTTTTTAAATTATTTTTACTAGCCTATCTAGTCTAAAATTAGATTCGCCACTATTATATACCCCTAAACAGTGGCACCAAATCCTATGTTAAGGTCAGGCCAAGGCCTGAATTCTTTTAAAAATTAAGTACAGGGCTGCAACATTTTAACCCAAAGTTTGGTTGCCAAACCAAATGAATATGTTTAGACTTTTGAAATATATTACTAATAACAGCAATTTACAATTTACTCATTTGATCTATACTGGATATTAAAGAAATAATTATTAACACATTTATAACAAATTACTAAAACAATTAAATTTCTGGTCAATAATTGTATTTTTCGTTATTTTTTTTTTTTTTTTTGATTTCTGGCTACTGTGTTCAGAATTCGTTTATTGTTGCATACTGTATATAATTTAAATTTCCCTATATAGGAGAGCTACGGTAAAAGACAATATTTTTAAAAAAGCTTAACTATTTCGTAACAGGTACTTATTATTTACAAATTTTTACAAGTTATTTTTACATATTACCACTAGCGTTCCCAAGTGAATTACATTCGGATAAAATATAAATGAAATGGATGTATTATATAGGTATCGCGTGTCCCCGACTCATTAACCGAGAGTGGGACATGAATAATATACAAACGATGATACGGCACGCCAACGGGACTTTTGTTTTATTTTCGAATGACAAAGCTCCACGTAAAAAAAACAAAGTAACATATAGGTTATGTTATGATAACGGGACCAGGTTAATGGATATACATTGTGCGATGAATCGGTTATGTGTTGTGGAAATATGAAACTCTCATAAAACGTTCATAAGTAACATCAATCGTGCCTACGATTGTCTTTTATCTTATAGACGCCAAATCAAAACGCGGGCACTTGAGATATTTTTTTTATACCGTTAAGCCTGTTTCTCGACGGGATTTGGATTATTTGATTCAGTTAATAGACATCGTGCTCTATGGCAACTGAGATAATATAAATAACAAGCCACCCTTCGGTGGTTGAATTTGAGTCCAATGGCTGACAAGTTGCAGTTCGAAATTTTGACGACGTCGTTTCAGATATTGGCAGACCGTGCTGACAAATTTAAGGCGTTTTAGACCGTAATTTATACGTTGACTCATGGGAAACTATTTTGTGGCTCTTAAATAGGAAAAAAACACCTAAATAAGTAATGTTTTCAAACATTGAAAAATCTAAAATTTGACAATTTCATCATGTCGGCCCCATAGTTCAGATGTCAAAAAACTCGGCTCTCTCTCGATTTTCTATTCTCTATTTTAAAAATATTTCACGATTAGTGCACTTTTCCATCTTTCTCTATCTCAAACTACCTGTCTCTAGTTTTTATCCTCGATGTTTTCCAAATCATTTTTTACCCCGTCTATGTGGTAAAACATAGTCACATTTTCCTAGAATTTTCATTATACATACTTTAACTGATATATTACTAAAATCTCGGAAATTATTCTGTTTCAATGTATTTAAATCATAGTCATTTTGTGTTACAATTAGATTTATTCGTAATTGCAATATTATGACCTATAGGATGTAACCAGAACATTGTAATTTGTAGAATCAAAATCATATTATTGTTATAATAATACACATGTATTATTTATTATTTACGGTTGTCAGAGTAATTAGCCAAATCAGAATTAAATTCTCTGTGCCTGCATTATCATTACGATAAAATCAATCGAGAATCGAACATTTAATTTGAATACTAATTAAATTAATAATATGATAACTTTGTCATACTTAATGCAACCTAACTTTTATTTTATATATGATTAAATTTTTTTTGTACATATTAATAACTAATGGTTTAGTAGATGATGTTTATTAGTTCGATAGAAAAAAAATTAAAAATTATTAATTGTATATCATCCGTAAACAGTAGTTTACGAGAGTTTATATAATCTAAATCATTAATAAAATAATATAAATAGCATTGGAGCTAAGTGTGAGTCTTGTACAACACCAGATAGAATAATTAAAGGTTCCGAAATAAAGTTCTAACTTTAACAATCTGTTTTCTATTAATGACAAATGAAATCAACCATAATACAAATGGATCACGAATACCAATCTTTGCTTACAGATACAAATGAAATAACCTTATGTATCCTATTACCTTCCCAACTTCACACCTACAACAGTGGCCGCTCTCATCCTCAGTATCAGTACTTTTTATCTTTTTTTAATTTCATGTTCAAAATTCTGTGGCCCTCTATTTAGCCATTTATTGGTAGCCGCGACCTAAATACGCCACTACCATATTGTGGGTCGTATAAATACAATAGGTATATATTTTTAAGGCTTACATACATACTTAAATTTTTATGTACAACAAAAGATAAGAATTATGTGTTATGTATTATATGGTCATATACGGAATGATGTCTCTAGAGGATTTTCTATTTTTCAGTACTTATATAGCATATATATAGCACAATATATTAAGTATAAGGTAACGGATGCGGCGACGTTTATATTACACCCGTGACCGTAATATTATAACCTATAAAAATTGTTTCGGGTAATCCAAAGGAAATAACGACTATTATAATTACCATCTTATAAGAGATAAGGTCGGGAAATAGTATGTATTTTAAAATCTGATTGAAAAATTAAAACAAATAAGTAATCACGAACATTTTTGACAATTTTAAAAATTTGAACCAAATCGCAATGTTTTTAAGTTTCTACACAAGTCACTCTCTAACTTGAGTGCAAATAATCCAAACATTTTTGAGTGACTAACACCAGTATTGGCTTAGTATAGTAACTGTGTTTACTCGATGATGACTTGATTCAGGGGGGCTTGACTGAGTATTCGGGAACCAAGTTTCCAAGCTCCTGATTTTTTTAACATTTTATAACTATTTATTTCTTAAATGTACTTAAAAAAAAAAAAAAAACAAATTTCAAAAAAGTAAATACTTTCAGAGATAATGATTTTTTTTCCGTTATCTTGATTACTCTGTATAAATATAGCAATATTGTCGAGAATATAAGTTTCTATCACGTCAAACAACTTTACCCTAGTTGCGCCCGCGGTTATTTCTACATTTTGTCTCTAAAACCTTACACAGAGAATTACACTCATAGTGTGTATGTGTGGTGTGGATATTATAATATATGTAGAATGTTCAGCGAAAACAATGGACATTTGAAAGCGGCGAGTATAACGCGAACTAAACATAGGTACTCATTCCACAACACACTTTGATAATTGAAAGAGATTTAAATAAAACTTAAAGGAGTAACGGATGTTATGGGTAACGATTTTGGATCGACGATAGTGGCGGCCACAAAAAAAGTAACGTCTCCCGTCAGCGGTCATATATTCGAAGAAACCGCGTCAGGCGTGTCAATTCAATCGAATACTCACCGGAGCATATTTATTTAATGCATTTTGGCTTTCTATTCCACTATTTTTTTTATTCCGTTAGGCTCACTTTATTTTTATTTTTTTTTCCACCGTCACGAAGAAGGGTATAAATCGACGTCCATTATTACGGAATCGGAATAGGTAGGTAGTGAACTACAGTGATTGATGAAAAGGAAGGTAGCCCCAACATTTGAAATTATCATGCTGTTTGTCGTACATTTTTAAGTGTCAAACAAACAATGGGTTGGGCCAACTATAGTATATATTATAATAGACATAAATGTCCATTTCATTCTTACCATTTAAAACCAAGGTTAAAGTAAACATAGGTAATTTACATATTAACAAAATAAAACTCTTTCGAAAATATTATAATAGTTATATTTAAAAGATGATTTACATAGTTTTTTTTTTTTGTAAAAACTGTGATTGTCTTAAATAATATTAAGTATTCAGATGAATAGAGTACAATTTTTCGGGAGTCTTTTGGCCTAAGAAATTTCAAACTTACACATTTGCAGATATTGTCAAATTAATTTTTGCAAACACCCCTAAAACAGAATAAATTCCTTACGTGACCATTGCCATCAAAAATTACCGTCCAATAGTTTTCTCGGAAAATTTTGATTACAATGGAATTGTTTAAGCTGTATTTTAACGGTTTTTAAAACTTTTAAAATCCTACTTCTATTAGATTTTAAAAGGATTTACTGTGCGTGAAACTACGGAATAAAAGGTACAATTTTGGACATTTTGTAAAGCAAATCGTACTTCGTACAACGATTCTATATAATTCTCTATATATGTACTCATGATCCGATAAAATCACCCTGTTTAAGTAATTTATCGGTTTATTTGATTTAAGATAGTTAAGGGTAAATCCCCCCCACAGTATAAATACAATCAGCTGTCTGTAATTGCCAATAAATAAATCTGAAGACAATAACATAGTAAAACGATTACATTTTATTCACGACGAGGTCGCAAATCAATGCTCTAAAACATTTCAAAAACTCATAATATAAATATTATTTTCATGAAAAGTCGTATGGAATTTAAACACGATAAATGTTGATTTGACCATGTTAATAAATAGGTGAACCTACCTATATGGATTTGTGATTTGTATATTTACCGATTGCGAATGGGTGCCTAATACCTATACAAACTGTTAATATTATTAACAGTGATTATGAAATTTTAACACATTAAGCTGCATTAAATTTTTGTTTTAACGACTTTCTCGCTATAATGTAACTTAAAAATCATTAATCTTATCCATGAATAATGATTAGCTAGCGAAATTGAACAGTCACACGCAAGTAGATGGGTAATAAGTTACTATTATTCTAAAAAAAAAAAAAAAATGCCTACTAATAATATTTTTTAACCGTAAAAGGTAATCAATAAACGGTAAGTTTCTTTATTCTTAATAGTTTTCAACTCGACGGTTTTTGGATGGAGTAAGTATTTTAGTATATGTTTTATACTATTCGCGAATTGATATTAAAATTTAATGGTAATGTGAAGGTCTTTACCCCAAAGTTGTTTTAAACTGAAGTACTTAAAACGACGATTATAATTATATCACTAATCTGCAAACATTTTACAGCTGATAATAATTAAGAAGCTAGTTAAAATTATGTATACCTATCAAATAATTATTATGCTCATTACGTATATTAAAACTACTAAATTGATTGATAATGAAAGCTAAAATATTAATTTTATTACAAGCACGTAAATTAAACCAGGTACGGGAATTCGATTAGACTTCAAACGTTTGGATTTTATTTTCAAACCACGGAACGTTTCAACTTACGCGATTGGTTCATTAACACAAAGCCTAAATACGAATATATTATTTTCTCATGATAATAAATACAATTTGAGTTTTCGAATTTTAAAAAAATACACTTCGTTTTGATTCTTGATAAATAAATATACAGAGTGATTATCTAAGCGTAATCGCCCAATTTTTTTTTTTTTTTGGTTAAATTTTGCATATATTGAAATTCTGATTTTTTTAAATTTTTAAGTATTGTCAAAGCCAATATTTTGAAATACTTAGATTTTTTATAACATTATAACATAAGGAGTATTCTGTGGTGATACCAACTTTGGTTTTTTTAAATTAGAACTTGTATTAAATATTCCATACATAAATAAAGTATTACTTTGAATAAATTTTGATATTAAAATTGTTGATTACCGTAAACTCGTTGACGAGATATTTCACTTTTATGTTTAGGTAGAGGAAGAGTAGTGGAGTATCATTAATGTGGGCGGACGGTACGCAGCGTTTTATTAGTTCTTCAATACTCTCTTCCTACCTAAACTTAAAAGTGGAATATTTCGTTAACGGGTTGACGGAGATCAAAAATGTTGATGTCGAAATTTATTTAAAGTAAAACTCCGTCTATTTATGGAATTTTTAATATATGTTCTCTTTGAAAACCCACATTGGTATCACCGCAGAATACTTTTTTATGTATTGTGAAAAATCTAAGCATTCAAAAATATCGGCTTTAAATACAGAAAATCAGAATTTGAATATGTATAAAATTTAACCAAACAAATTCAGTGAGCATGCTTAGTAAATCGCCCTGTATGTAAACATTTTTTTTTTTATAAATAGTGTTAGATGCAGCGAGGAAAATATAATAATAGATAAATTATGTTTATATAGGTAATATGCTATTTTTTCAACTATACATTTACTCGAATTGTAGACACTTTTGAATACTTTGCATTTTAAAAACAAACTGAACAATAAACATTAAAAATGGTTACATTTGCATCGATTTTATAATAGAAATATACAAAATTATAATATTCAATCATTAGAGCGCGCCACCATTTTATAACATATTGATATCAATAGAGCGCACCACAAAAAAAAAATAACAATCAAACATTGATAATAGTATTTACACAAATTATGTATCGTATAATTCTACATTAACCATTCGTCAGAATATCTTAATCTTTACATGATACGTCATTTATTGATTTTGGTTAAGTACCTAAGTACAAAGAAAGAAAATATGTCACAAATACTTAAACTTTAGAAATAATATTTTACTTATAAGAAGATTAAATTCTATTTTTTAAAGAAACAAAACAAAATTATAATAACATAATAAACAACGAAATATTGTTTTTTTTTTTTTAAATAAATGTTGAAATTTTTTATATTTAAAGTTGGGAATAAATTATTGCAACTACATAAGGTTAATGAAATAAAAATACTCAAAATCGCTTGAATATAATACTTTATCACACACGCAATTACATCATGACACATCACTACAGTACTTTAATTTCCATGAGACATGTTCCCATATTGTACATCTTAAAGATTAAAAAATACCTGAATAAATGTTACTGTGTAAACAAAATCATTTAAAATGAGATGGTAAGGTACTGGATTTTAAAAAATAATAAAAAAGCACACCGAAAATTTCAGTAAATTCACATTTACCCTTCAAAAATACAGGGTATACATTTTTGCGCTAGAGGCGACTACATATCTCGGTATTGTGAAATCCATTTCCGTTCGTCCGCCGTACAAATACAACGTATTGTGTATTATTTGTACCTTATGTAAACCGTTTCTAAAATAAAACGCTTCGTGGTACGAACAACCCCGTTTAATTTTTGTTTAAATAGTAAGACTCATTTTTCTACAAAACCCAGTGCTCGTTTGGTTCAACCCGAAAGACCGGTAGAATGACAATCCACTTGTTTAACACAAATACAGAGTAGTATACCTAAAATCTAATATTTTTTTAAGTTAATAATATAATGTTTTAAGTAGCTGGGGTTTAAATTATCGTTGGATACAATAATTATAAACATATTAATTTGAAACAATAAAATAATACGATTTAAAAATCATAGTAAAAAAAAGTACGGTATTGCACAAATGGACGGTCGTATTCAAATATCAAACATTATAAACGTGTCGGTGAACAATAAAAATCAATAATAAAAACTATAAAATTACTCACTTTATCATTTTACAGACGTAAACGTACATATCGCGTGAAACACATAATCCTCTTGTTACATTATATCTATTATTCTGAAAAAAAAAACATTATATATTATATAGTTAATTACACGCGAAGTAATAAAATGTCTATTTAAATAAAAACAAAAAAATATGTATATATAGGTATGAATATAACGTAAAATACACAGTACTTTAATATCAATCTTCACCTTAAATAAACAGAATTCGACGTTGGGGCGGTTTTAAAAATGCATGTAACGCACACACATGTATGATGAAAACAATAAGACCTGAATGTATTGGGGCTAAGAGTATATTAAAGAGGGAACGGGAATGACAATCACCTCCGTTGTCCACTGTCGGTAACAACCATAAGAAACTACTGACACATTCGTATGCATATTCTTCGATAAAAGTTCGAAAATACAATTTTTGAATTGGCTACGTAAAAAATGATGACTTATACGATAAAACAAGATAATAATTAGGATGTACATGACAAATGTTGATTTGATTATCAACAATCGTAATACTATAGGCAATATATACGTAAATTGGGTTTTGTGAGTGGATTAGAGCGATGTTCGGATGAATACAAAACGATGCGATATTATTTCGTTTGACCCGATCTACGACGACGGTATTGTTTATACGTCGCACAATATTATGAATATTTTGATAAATCGAAGCTCTCATTGCCATATATAATTCCGTACGTATACATACAAGGTGGAACGTGATGATAAGTGGTCGTTATATAGTTGTGTGTGTGTGTGTGCGTGCGTGCGTGCGTGCGTGTGTATACATAGATAGTATTTGTGAACGTGTTCAACTTTTAGAGATTGATGTGTTTCGATTTGTCAGGTCCGGATATTATATCCGTGTTTGACAAATTAAATGACAAACGGCGCGATACGGCGGCGGCGGCAACCCGTTCGGGAAAACCCACTCCTGTTAATTTATCTTCGTTATAACCGCACGGAAATACGTAAAATAATATTATCACCGAGAATAATAATTACCGTTATAACAGAAATAACCTGCGAATAGGTTTCTTAAAGTCGAAAACTCTACTATGCCGCAGCAGTCCCGAAAACCGGTAAGAATAACGTTGTGTAACCGACGCAATTATCAACATTTTGTTTTCACGTGGTGGGGGGGGGGGTTGAAATATACCTTCAAGTGTAATGTGAAATAACACTAATTCAAAAATTAGGAATTCAATTCGATTTACAGTCTTGATGATATTACCCGAAAACGTGGTACTCTACACGATGGTTTCCACCTGCAGCTGCTGTCTGCCGCAACGTCTGAAATTCCGTAGTCGACAATAAATCAAGTACGGGTAATTCGCGTTATCGACATTGGACTACCTACGTTAATTAAAAAATAAATGGATCAATGATCGTTTCTACACTACCATCTATATAATATGAACCCTTCGGAAAATTTCTAGATTGCAGTCATATATAAAAAAAATAAAAACAATCCATCATAATAAGTTATAAAAGTCTACGGGAAAAAAAGTTTACCTATTATACCTAAAAAAAAAAATGACTAACCATAACGTTAATGACGTCCATCTTTATTATGTATTACGAATAATGATTTAGAAAAACTTCTTTTTAACTTGTATACTTTTACTACATCTGATAATAGTAAATAAAAATAGTTTTTGACGTTTTCTTTAGGTATACTTTGAATTACTTGAAAAAAAAAAATAGAAAACGACTGTAAAAAAATAAGTTGATACTGCTAACGGGTACATTTAGAATTGTAGGCAAGAACTCGGGAAAGTAGGGCACGTAAAGTTGTTTAATTTATATCTGTCCGATAATGCTAACGAAAAAAGATTCTGAGTACAGTTCATTAAAACATGTTTTGAAATGCAGTGGTTTTTACGGTTTTCGTGTAAATTTTAACTTCACAATGTTAATAAAAAAAAAAAAAAAATACTAAATTACGCTCAATTGTGTTCTTTTGGATACTAAATAAAACTTTTAATGAATATTGTATACAATTGTCAAGCAGATTTGGTCGACAAAAATAATTTTATTTAAATGAAAACCAAAAGAAAGAAACTAGAGTTTACGTAGAAAGAATAAATAGTTCAAATTTCATATCTCAAAAGCTAATATGAGGATTTTGTGAACATTTCAGATCTTTACTATTATTTTTAACTATACTACAAGAAAAAAAACCAAAAATAATATAACTGTTTATTTCATAAACTTTCCCGTATCCCTAAAATGTATTCCCATTTTTTCTAAATCGTTAAGAAAACTAAAAAAAAAAAAAATTGCAAAAATCACTTTTCAATTTATGAACCAGCTAAGACTGGCTTTTGTAAAATATGCAACTCTTAGATTTTTTGTTAAAAATGCTGATAACATAAACAAAAAAAGACTGATAGTGCAGATGAGATTTGTGCCATTGTTTTAGGGAGAAAATATTAAGGGAAGATTTTATATAAAGTAATTTAATTTATCTTTGTTTGTGACAATAAACGATTCTGAGCAGGATAGTATCAGAAATCAACAAAAAATTATCAAATAATTAAAATATGATCACATTTATTAGGAAAACTACGAAGAAAATCAAAAAAAAATACCTTATTACTGCACCAAACAGTAATCCTGTTAGGGGAAGATTTAAAAATATTGTTTACAGACACAAACAAAAAACTACGCCCATCATAATAAAACCAATACATTCCACGTTGCGGAGCCAGGAATCTAAAATTCCATCAACGTTCTCGTAATATTTTTATTCATAGACGTTACCTAATTTTACTAGAAACCGTGATCATTATTATAAGTGGATAAATCTTTAAATTTATATAAATCGTATGAAAAAAAAAAAAAAATACCCCGTGATCATTGAACAAAATTAACTTCGATACAATATTATAATTTTTATAGTAGTTTTCGTAAATATTTATACGGGACTCGCATATTTACGGTGTGCGTATAATTTTTATTCGATATTGATTTATTTTTAAATCAGACCGAAAAGCCCGTTAACAGATTGCCCGGGTTTTATAATATGTCCTAAGAAAAACATTTAACGGTTTCGTACATAAAACCGTAACGAACCACTATATAAATTAGCGCGTACTAGATAGTTATTGCGGTACTTAAAACGGGTCTTATAATGGTTCGCGTAAAAAATGTAGGTACCTATATAAAATGTATATAGGCAACAGCCGGTAAAATAAAAAAAAAAAAAGACCTTATTCTCGAACGATAACATCGGAAAAGTTCGAATACAAAATAACGTATTCGGTTTTAATAAAGTCAGTCTAAACGAAAGGTGTATCCACCTAGCTACACGTACAGAAAATATTCAATAAACTTACTCGATCGATGTATTTCTGCGATGCGTGCCACGCTCCCGAAAAAAAAAAAAAAATAAATAAATACTATTTCTGCTCTACAAAGTAGTATTAGGGTTTTTTTTTTCTTCCAATATTCATAATGGATCTACATTATGAATATTATTATTTTATATACCCACTCGTAATATATTTTATAATATACTTTCGAATTTCAAAGTTTCCGTGTATAGTAAAACGTCACTAGTTAACGATAAACCTCGCGTCAGATTTTACGTATATTCGCATTCGAAAAGTTAATATTAATTTTACTATAATGGAGCAAAAGTAAAAAAAAAAAAAAAAACACAGAATCGAAAAAAAAAAAACGCGAAGTTCGGCTTGACAATTTTCAGATTCCCGAACGGTATTTAAAATCGTGTACCTCGCAATAATATATACGAGTATGGTGTATTGCTTATAAAGTATATAATCTTTAAAAGAATTTATTGGTTTTACAAAGGTTGTAACGTCTCGGCGCGGGGCCTTGTGTACCGGACGAGCGTTATGTGATGACCCGCTTTTGGATTGCAAGTTCGCCAACCCGGAAGCCGAGATCCGGGGATCGGAGCTCCAGGATTTGTATATAATACCACTGAAATAGAACAGTGAAGATATCCATTTACAGAGGAAAAAAAACGGGGGTCAGGGGCATAAACTGGTTTTGTTTAACATAATTCGCGAGAAAAGTCTCACGATATAAAAACTAGAACGAACAAAAAATAATAATAGTACATAGAAATTTAAATATTAACGGGTAACTTTAAGCATGTAAACCGATCCCAGATCTTTGCTCCGGATTGGTCCCTGTAATCTATTCATAACTTTTCATCAATAATGGTTAAAAACTAAAAAAAAAAAAAAAAAAAAAAAAAAAAACCACCTTATTAAAACCAAATACATTCTTCGGTACACACAGAATCTAAAATGGTTTTAAAAAAGAACGGGTTGATAAAGTATTAATTTCGGTTCGCAAACGATTGCGTATACGCGGTTCGTTTTAAACCATTTTATTTTATCGTACGCGTTGTTACAGGGAATATTCCCGGACGGGCGAACAATAATCAGGAGAGATTCAAATCGCTCATAGATTTCGAATTAATAATAGTGGGCGGCTACTATGGCGCGACGACGTATCGTATTCCGTTACAATATCGCACGGGCATGTACGGGCGACCGCCGCAGTATTTGTCCGTCCGGTAAATGACGGGATAAATTATCATTCAGACATGTCGGAAAGGCCGAGTGCTGGTATACGTATATAATATCGTAATGCGTTTCCGTCCGATATTCCATAATGATAACAGCTTTCGCATAAGGACGAGCCGTAATGAGAGGTACGAATGTTATTGGCACCGTATACGAGTAAATGCGTATTGACATTATATCGATAGTCCCGTAAAACGAGGACGGCGACGGCCGCGCAGGTAGGTAAGTACCTACTTAATATTATCACCGTCCGGAATTCGGTACGTCCGAACCGACAGAAAATGGATACTGTTTTCAAAACTTCCCGGATTAAAAATATCGCTGGCACAACGTTTCTCCGACAAGATATTTCGCCAGTACACAGTATTACGTAGCCGGGTCTTGTAGAAAATATCCAACCGTTAAAATATAATTTCTTTTGTTAATTGTTTATGAATTCTTTTTTTGAGAACCGTCCGAACCGTATTATGAATAATATTGAGCAT